CGTTATGTATTTGTTAAAAATATAATATAGTACTAATTCAGATTTGAGAAAAAAAGGAAATTATATACTATACTAATGTCACCGCGTAGAGACTAATCCCCTTCCGGGGACTAGCCGGAAAAGCGTGGATGTGAAAGGATACGGAGTATCCTTTCACATCCTTTGTTCTTTATTAGTTAGTTCGTACTGAAATCTATAAAGAACTACCCTCATACCACCATGGCAGTGGTATGAGTTCAGTTCTGTACAAACTATACCCTAACTGTAGTACTGATACTATCCGGCCTATTCCCTGCTTGTGATCCCTCACAACTAAGTATATTTTAGACTCAAGATAGTAAATACTATTTCAATTTCATTTATTATTTATATTCAAAATTTATTTTGATAGTGTGAGGAAACCAATCAATAGTATTAGAGTCACGTGATAGTCTAGAGAGGGTACTTATACCCCCTCTTCCAGTAGTTTAGATCAATCGTCATGTTTTACCCCTTCAAAGTTATACCTACCTTCAGTGTTTAGACGAATAGTTACTTTATCCCCCTTTTGACCATGACTATCTTTCAGTGACGCTACGATTAGATGATTGTTGTACGATATGTGGTTATGCCGAAGGCATTCCTATGTTTTCACACCTACCTTCACTCCTTTATAATAGTTTATTTTGAATATTATAAAGGAGTAAAGATAGATAACGTGGTTTATCAGTGCGTCGCACATATCAGTGCCTCGCGCACTTCTTCACTATTTTGCAACTCTTTAATTCAATATGTGTTTAATCAATAATCAACAATAAATAATATTTCAAAAGAAGCTCGGATTATCTTAGCTATTAAAACTATTAATAAATCAAAAAAAATGAATTGCTGGAGTACTGCTAAACTCTACAATATCCCTGAAACAATACTTCGGAATCGAATAAACAGTTTAACCCTGCTATAGGAATATCAATCACCAATTTAAAAATTAACTAAATTAGAAGAAAAAGTGATTCTTTAATATATCCTTAATATAGATACACAAGAATTTGCCCCTCGATTGAGTAGTATAGAAGATATAGCGAATAATATTCTCGATATTTGTGGAACATATCATATTAGAAAGCTTTGGGTATATCGATTTGTACAATATTGACCAGAATTAAAGACATGTTTTAATCGCGTTTATAATTTCCAAAAAGCTGTTTGCAAAGATCCAAAGCTTATTGAAGAATGGTTTCGATTAGTATCGAATATATAGACGAAATACAGTATTCTCGATTGTGATTTCTATAATTTCAACGAAACAGGCTTTATGATAGGTATTATATACCCTGGGATGGTTATAACTAATACTGAACAACATAGCAGAAACAAAGCAATACAACCAGGTAATCGAAAATGGGCTATAGCGATTATATATATCAATAATATAAAAAAAAGTATTCCTTTATTTTTAGTGATTAAGGGCAAAAATCACTTCTCGAATTGATATATTAAAAATGATCTCCTACTTGATTGAGTGATTAAAATCACTAATAATGGATGGATAAACAATAAAACAGGTTTAGAATAGATTAAATACTTCGATAAATATATTATTGCTTGAAAACAAGGTAATTATCGAATACTAGTATTAGACAGACACAAAAGCTACGAATCGATTGTATTTCAAGAATATTATAAAGAACACAATATTATAACTTTTTCATTATCTTCTCATTCTTTGCATATTACTTAACCATTCGATATCAAATGTTTTAGTGTTTTAAAACGAATATATGATTAACAAATTAAAGAATATATTAAGGCTTATATCAATCATATCATCAAGGTCGAATTCCTTATAATCTTCAAAGTAGCATATCTACAATCAATAACTATTCAAAACGGATTATCTAGATTCCGTAGAGCTGGATTAATACCCTTTAATCCTCAAACTGTTATTTCTAAGCTAGATATCAAATTACGAACATCTATACCTACTAGATCCTCCTCTGTAAAGCTTGATCCTTGGGTTTCTCAAATATCTCACAACTCGAACAATGCTTTTTTGCAATCAACCTTAATTAAAAATCGAATTGTATAACATCAAAGAAGCTTTTCTATACCTATATTTAAAACAGTTGCAGTTTTAGCTAAGGATATAAAGATATTAGCTTATAAGATAACACTTATGAGTATTGAGATTCATACTTTTCGAAAAGCAAATAAGACATTGAGTAAACATTGTAAAGTTAAAAAGAATCGAATTCGTTAAGGAGGAATACTTAGTATATAAGATGGATATGATATTATATTATAGACCGATATAGATAATCAGATTCGATACAATGAATACTTTAAGAGGGATAATTCAAATAGGGAACAATCAACTTTATATCGTTGTGACTCTTATGGTAAAACTGGTTATAATATACGAACTTGTCAGGAGGATTTAGAAGACTCTAGTTTATCAGATTCTGAATAGTTTTAATTAATTTTATATATTGTGATTATTGAATAATATTTTGAAATGATTGAGTAGTGAAAAAGTGCGCGACGCACTGATAAACCACATTATGAAATCATAGAAAAGCCTTTAATATAATTATATATTATATAATAATCATTTAATTGAAATATTATTAAAAGATAATTATATTTAAAAGGGAATAAAGTAATTATTATTAATTTTTGTATAAAGGATTTCTATTAATATTCTGGAATTATACTCTTCTAGTATTGATTCAATCTATAGAATCTAAATACTATAATGACTTGTAATAATTATCGATTTTAAATTCTTAATTAAAGAATCAAATATATATTCGAATAAGATATTTTATATTAAGATCATATTCAAATTCTTTTAGATTCTTTAGTAGTAGTACTATTTGCTCTATCTTATATATCTCTGATAGATTAGTTTATAAATTTTATATAAATATAAATATAAATGCAATCAACACGTGACGATGATGATGATGACGTAACCTCGAGGTTTTAAAAATCTGGGGTAAGATTATATTTAAGTGGATGGATTTACATACTTGAAGACGTCATCATAACACCAGTCTCGTCAGTATCAATTTTCAAGGAGTGAGTGGGATAACCGGATAATTTACTTATCTTAGATAAATATTTGGTATTCTCATGACGTCAGTTTTTGGTTTTGTGCTTGCCGAGGAAGTGGTATCATTTCCATTAAGGGCTTTCACAAAGGGGAAGGCATGAGTGAATAAAGTAAAGAAGGATTCTTGATTCTTTTATGTTTTTTTTTTTGGTTTGCAAGATCATATCTATCATCTCTCAGAACAAAATCAGTACAACCAAATCAATACAACAAAATCCACACAGGATGGAAACAGTAAATAACCTCGCAGCCGCAGCCTCCAAAGCTATCTGGGGCGAAACAGAATCTCAAGAAACGACTGAGGCGGCGAAGGGAACGGTGGTGCCAGAGACACAAGGAACCGAACCGGTTAGTGGGGTGTTGGGGGATACGGCGAAGGGTGAACCGTTTGATGGGGGGAATATGGGTGGGTAGTTTTTTTCTTCTTGTTTTTTTTTTGGGTGGGAAGAGGGAGAGGGGGAAAGGGGGAGGGGCTGAGGTGTGAGGGGTGAGCGTTGATGGTGTGGGTTGAGGATATGGATGAGGATGAGCATGAGACTGAGGACTTTTTCTCTGTCATGGCAGTTGATGAAGACGAGGATGAAGATGAAAGATGAAGATGAGAAAATATGATAGATGAGCTAATAGATATAAACAGATTCCACATCTACGGAAAACACGGTACCAAAGAAGATAAATGATCCATCCGTTACAGCTTCTTCAAGTGGTCACGGTGCAAAGTCCCTCGATCCCTCCTCCACCACTCATCCATCCTCTTCCACCGGTCTCCCCGCAAAAACAATCGCAGATACCAATATCGCTCCTCTAGACGACAATAATATCCATACCGGAACATCTACATCTACAACCGACTCAGGATCTTCTTCTAGCTTCAAAACTACAGACGAGAAACCTTTGATTTCAGACAAGATCAATCCGAATTTACCCTCCTCAACCTCTACATATGCTACCACAGATCGCACTGCTCAGGAACAATTAAACCCCTCTACCTCCACCACTCTCCCTATTCGCTCTGAATACAAGACGGATAAGACGGGGGTCACAGGGGCTCATGGTACGGGTACGGCGCTTGGAACGCAAACTCAGGATATCAAACCTTCGTCGTCTGTTGAACGTGGTGCTACGTTGGGAGATCATAGTGGTAGCGGTATCGCTGCTGGCGAGAAAGACTTGACGTCTACCAAAACCAACAAACCAAGCAGCACAGCGAATACCCAAGGCGTGAAAACCGATCTGAAACCTTTGAGTTCTGAACAGAATAAGGTGGTTGAAGAAGAAGAGGGTGTAGAAGGTTCAGGAGAGAAATATATCAAGAGTACGGGTGTAGTAGCTGAAGGCGGTGATTTCGATGCTACGAGACCTGGAGCGGGTAGAGAGGCAGATAGATTGATGGGGAAGGAGGGGAAGGTGGAGAAGAGTGATGCGGGGGTTAGTGGGGGGACTGTGGGTGGTGTTGGTGGGGTAGGAGGAGTGGGAGAGGATACAAGTGGGGTGAGGAAAAGTATCAGTAGTGAGGAGGGAGAAGGTAAGAAAGAGGGGAAATTGACGCATTTGAAAGAGAAGATTAAGGAGAAGTTGCATAAGCATTAAGTGGGTGGATTGGATGCTTGTGTATGGGAAGGTATGGTGAGGTGAGGAAAGTAATGGATGATGGGATGCATGGGATGGTAGGGATTAGGTGCTAGGTATTCGCTATGGATTTTAGTATGATGGTATGATGATGGTACGAGGGTACGATGGTATGATGGCATGGGCTGATATGATATGATATGATATGATATTTTATGGTTTTTTTCCGCTGGGTAAGAATGAAATACGTTGTGATGCGAAGCGATGGTTATGCAGATATGCAAATACGCGAATATGATAGGAATGAAAATATCGAAATAATGCATTGGCTATGATGTGTCGAAAGTGGGTGAAGTGAATATGGTTGCAAGTGCAACACTCTCAGCTACAGTATTCTTTTGTTTGTTCATCACTCTCATCAGATTCATTTATCGATCATCTTGATCTTCTTGTTCATAATCTATGAATAAATATCAGTGATGTATTGATAAAAGTCAAAATCAAAAACACAATAATTTGGTCTTTCAAATAGCTAGCAATTAACGAGGTATGTTTGCTCACAAAAGTAAATACTAGTATCACATCCAAACTTTCCAGAAAATGCAAGTTGTTTGCGAAGCAATTAGAATAGATAGGTTCGAGAACATCACTGGTATGATGTATCAAATATCCTTTCTGGCAATATGCTTATTTAGTAGACCACTCCTTGAGCCAGAAATAACCAAACTACAAGTATCAAATGAAACGGTTAAATTGGCTTGTAGAGCAGGCGGAGATTTTCACTGGCTGATGAGTTGATACCATTGTCACGGTCGGTGCTGGGTTATTTCGCGGGTGCGATTCTTGTTGAGATAAGAGCTCTGTCTCTATATTCATTGTACCGCAGATACAAATGATGAGGTATAAGTATTACTTCTGTATAATTTAAATCATTATTGGGTCTGGTGAATTACTCGTTATGGTAGGCTATGGCTTGGTTTTGGGAGGAAATAGTGTTCAGTGCATATCATATTCTATGATCATATAACAAGCAGTTGTATTTTACTTGTACTCGAGTAGAAGTTCGCTTAGATTCGGTTGCATGTTTTTTGTATTAAGGGTATTAAACCTTTAAATTTGATTACAAGTAAAAGGATTTAGGGACATATATAGTAGATTAAAAATTCTATCATTCTACCAGTACACAGAAACTTAAAGATCCCTCCCTGTTAATAACGAACTGATCTACTCGTACTTCTGAACGGCTGCATAAGATAAAATTCATAATTACTTGTCTAATCTTTTTCAAAGACAAGGAATTGAAGTTCTCGCTGCAAGTAGACTATTATTCCTTCATCATGCGGCATACATACAGAGTAGGATGATTATAAGATGATGTATTGGTAGCTTCATATAGTATGTCAATGGTGAGATTTGCAGCGTTATTGAAAAATGCAAAGTACGCATTCGTTGGAGTTCTCAATTATTTCTTTTGATAAAATTTATCTCTCTTCTCTTCTTCTTTTTCTCCATCGATGATCTATCTAATTTTGTCAGAATTTGGCACCAGCAAAAGAGAAGCATATTAATAATATAATTGTAATAAATTAAATTAAATAAACTATACCAAATTATTTACGAGTAATATTTAGTAGCTCGTGATTCCTTTAGCTTCCTCAAACTAATTTTCGGCTCTGATATCTAGGCAATATATAGTAATGCAATGCGATGCAATGCAGTCCTATCTATATTAAGTAATTTAAGTTAGTAACCCTCGTGGCCAATACTGTACTATACTCAACTACAAACGAAACGAAACGAAACGATATCATTTATAAATTATGAGTTATAACCAACCAAATTATCTAACCCAGCTATCAGCGAATGATGGATGATTTAGTATCCCGGTTATAGACGACACGAGACGAGATGAGACGAGATGAGATGCACAGAACTCTCTCTCTATCCTATCCTATCATAATTAGCATACTGTACATTGATGTATTGGCACTTATAATCTGAAATTAGAGTCATTTATAGTATCATTAAAGAATAACGTACCGGTACCTCACATCCCTGTTGTCTTCTCGGCTCTGCTTAAGAAGACCGTCCAGCTTAGGTAGGCTTCAACGCTGCTTGCTTGGTGTCAATCTGAAAAGCACATATAGCAATACCAATCCATATAACAATTGTTACATTTACCCGACCGGATGTAATTATCCAAGATTTGTGATTACGTTAGAGTCTTACATGTGTTATAATTATAGCTGTATGTAAAAAGAGTTTACGTCTATTATGCCAAGAATGTATTTAGCTGAATTAAATCACTTATTTAACTTCCCATCATCAATCTCCCTCCAAATAGCCTCCGTATGTTCCCAAATCTTCTTTCCAGCCCCCTCGCTTCTCAATGGACCCAACACTTTCTCATTTCCACAAACCTCTCCATCCCACTTAACATTATACCCACCACTCCCCCTCACTCCATCCACCCCCACCGCCCTCTCCACATTCACATTCCCTCCCTTACCCTGCCCTTCCCCTTCACCAGCACCCCACCCCCTCCCCCCAAACCTCCCTCCACCCCCCATCCCCATCCACAACTGTCTCTCCCCCGTCTCCTCCACCCCCACCAACCCAGGCAAAAACAGTTTCGTAAACCCATTAACAAACACTCTAGCCCCCATCCTCGCATACCAAGGTAATTCCCTCAATAATCCCGTATCCACAATCCCCGGACTAGTATGCAGGAAACTAATACTCGGTTCACGAGATGCGTATTCGGAGAGCATGAGTGCGTTCATGGTTATACTGTGGTTTGCGCACTTACGGCCGCTGAAGGTATTAGGGGTGCGTAGAGAGAGGTTGGAGAGATCGAGGGCCCCTTCGGCTGATGCGCCGAGGATGGAGAGGATGGTGCCGGGTTGGGTGGTTGGGGTGCTGGGAATGGGAGTACGGAGGAGAGGGAGCAGATTGTGGGTGAAGCGGTGGCGGGAGTAATAATTTAGTGTGAATTTTCGGTCCAGATTTTGGGAATTTGCTAGAGGCGAGGTATGTTAGATATTTCATCCCTTCTTTCTTCCCCATCCAGCAGAAAACTAAAAGCTAAAGTGAAGAACACAAATAAGAAAACAGAACTCACGATCCCAACCCCTCAAATTTAAATTCCCTTGACTACAACATAAGAAATTGATTCTCCCCGTAGCACCCTTCCTTTCACCTTCTTTCTTCTTGATAATATCACATACTCGATCTACTTCTGCAATATCACTAACATCCGCAGGAAGAAAATCAATAGTTGCAGTGGGATGGATAATTTTGCCTTCCGTGATGATATCTTGAGCGGCGGTGTGAGAGCGCCCGATTAGGTAGATATGTGGCGGAGTAGAGTCAGAGGGGGTAGCGGGTGATGATGGGGTGGGAGCTAGAGATCGTAAGAGTGCATAGAGTGTAGATTGGCCTATTCCGGAAGTGGCACCAACTGTGAAGCGTTAGTATTGAAATCGAGCTGATGAGATGAGGAGGGAATGTAGTATACCAAATACAGCGACGAATCCTGGGCCGACTTTTGATTTCAAAGCTGCATTTTCGGCTTGGATGGTTGAAAGTGGAATCATGATTACGATCGTACAGTTTAGGATTACTTGTACTATTGATTGATTATTTGTTTCGATACTAAGATTGAAACATGAAGTATTGATGAATGGAATCTGAAGTCAAAGGGACGTTATATAGATATCAAGTAGACGCGGGGGCTATCCGCTGTGGTCGGGTTATGCGGCCGCTTGCTTGTATGCAGGGAAAAAGCAGGCAAGCGGGAACGCGTTTGATGTCACGTCCGCCGAGTACGGCGGTTTTAACAACATCAAACGAACGAACCAATAGTTTCCAAGATATAAATCCCTGACTCAGCCAGTATATACAAAGATTCACAACCAAATCAAATCACCTCACCTCACTCCACTTCACTCAACACTATCATTATTTCCAAACTCAATTTCAATTCAATTCGCTAGCTAGCTAGGTATAGTTCACACAACATAAATAGATCAGCTAACTTACTCGAGTACTAAACACTAAGAACAAAACTATACCAGCAAACAAGTAGACTCCAGATCTTGCCAGGAGTCAGGAGTCACCGCAAACACTGTCCAAGTCCAAGCATGAATGCCGACTTAAGAACATTCCGCAAAAGTCTGGGACAAAGAAAAGTGCTGCCAGGCCATGGTAAAAAGCTTCCTCTCCCCCCCCCCCCCCCCCCCAACGAACCCTAGAGGTTCTCCAAGAAGTTCATCTCATCGTCATTAAAACTGATCAATGCACCACCCAAGTCATTCGGAACAACCTCATTGTTGCTGACCACCCGAGAAGTAATCTCATTACTGCTGACCACCCGAGGAATGACGGTTCTTTCTTTCGGGCCTACGATCCTCTTTCCATTGACAATTTGAACTGGCTTATGAGTTTGTTCAATGACCAAATCCTCCGGCTTTGGTTTATTCTCGTTCTCTCGCTCCTCCCGTTCAAGACGCTCTTGATTAATGTCCTTGTCCGAGCGAATTGGATCCCAGGTTTTCCAAGCCTTCCGACCTTTTTCTGGCGACAATTCCCTTGGCTGTGGGGAGGACGCGAATGTGTATGGAGTATTGTCACTCAGTTGTTCAAATCTCTCCGATGACCGCCGCGTGTATGAATTGCTCCGGCCATTTGATTGTCCTGACTTATGTGGTGACAATTGCTTTTGTTTCATTTGACGGCTCGACGACTCCGAAAAGGATTTCTCTGGCGATCGTTCTCTTTGCCTAAGAAGAGTATTATTCCATGGATTTTGTTCATTTCTGCCGTCACTGGCGAGTTGTGTCGAACGAGATTCTAACTCAAGTTCCTGCAAGCTAGCCAACGTACGACATTCATCGCATCGGCAAAGTTCTCCGCAGTTGGCACTGCAGCCATGGCCACAGATCAAGATGTTTCCGCAGGGCTCTTTGCATACAATACGGTCATGACCTGTAGGGTGACAATTGTATGGACACAAATGCCCACACGGTAACATGCCACCACAAGTAACATCACAGCCACCACTCAGACATCCCCAGTCTCCAGGCTCAGAAACAAGCGTGAGATTTTGATGCTTGGAGCATACGATGGGCAGGCGATGTCCATATCTTTTTTTGTCTAACATATGCAAGAGAATCGTCAACCATAACAGTTTGCGAGAACCCCCATCACCTTCCTGTCCGGCAACAGTAAGCCCATTTCCAAAGATATAGAGACCACGTTGGGCACGTGACAAAGCAACAACCACACGATTCTTGCTGCGCAGGAATCCCACAGAATCATTGTTATTACCTCTTACTAACGATAGCAAGATAACCTCGTTTTCTTCACCTTGGTATGCATCAACGGTAGAAACCTTAAAGTACGGAGTCGCGATGCTTGTGACACATCGATTGAGCTCTTTGAGAAGTAATTTTCGTTGTCCGTTGTAGTACTATAGATCTGTCAGCGTTGCTATGAATGGAAGGGCCGGAAAGAATTCTAACCGTCAACACAGTGATGTTTTCTGGCTTGACGCCATTTATAACTAGGTAATTGAAGAACTCAGCAACCATAGCAGCCTCTAATGCATTAAAGCAACTCATATTGACATCTCTTCCCTCTTGCCATCCGTGGGCGAAGAAATATGAATCAACCGCCATGCCAGGAACTGGGGGGCGATGATTGACTCGATCGAGCACACTAGAATGATCTTGAAGATTGACATAGAACGGATTCGAGTCATTCGGCTTTTTCGACTCAATACACAGAAGCTCTCGGACTTCCGAAATCATACGGCGTTGCTGGTTTAACATTGTGAAGCCCATCCCATTGTTTACAAGTCTCTCAAACAATGAGATTGACATATAGTATGGATGTGACATGAAACGATCGAGTGTGGTGTTAGCCGTCAGTTGGCGATGATCTCCTACAAGTATCACTTGCTCCAGTGATGGTATAATACTTGCAGTGACGTTTGCTTCCAGGGTCTCTGCCGCTTCTTCGATGAGTAGCACACTGGGGTTCAGAGCGGAAAGTAGTCCTCTATACTTAGAGAGTCCGGTCGTTGTGCATCCAATCACCCTTGTGTCTATATGATCGATGAATTCGACATCACGTTCCCACTATATTGTTTTAGCATCAGGGTGAACCACTTCGCGAAAGGTTGTCCTACCTTTGACATTTTTAAACGATTCATCGAGATTTGGTATTGAGCCAATTTATCGATAAGCTTACGAGTGAGCTGATCATAGTAAAGCTTCTCCCAGTGGCAATAAACGGCGCCACGATACTTCTCTGGTATGTCGAAGAGACTACCGTGTCTGACAAGAATATTTTTAGGATCATTTTTACCTGTGACTCGACGATTGACAATTTTGCCTGTGAAGCTACGTCTCAATGGAACCCACGTTCCGCTAAGAGACTCTTTATCGTCTTTCGATTGAACTTCGACTTCGACCTCTTGTAATTGTTCAAATTCTTGATCAGGATCTTCTATCTCGAGATTCTTGTTAATAACTGGAGTCCTCGGCATGCGCACTATCTGTCCGGATCCAAGCCCTACAATATCAGTAAGCAGAGTTCACAAATCGGATGCTTAAGCTTCTAGATACCTACAAGATGACAAAGGATCGGCGGCATCGTCTTCCATATCCGCTGCACTTGACCAGCCAGGTTCAAAGAAAGAGTCATAATGTTCTTGACTCATAATACCACATTCCAAAAGAATTCTCCCGGATAGAAGATCTCCCTGGGTAATGGGGAAAAGCAGTTCTTCGATTGATTGAATCGCAATGTCGTGTGCTCTAAAAGCTGCTTTGACGCCTGAGAAATGACTGGCTTTTAAATCTTTAGTAGTTTGACGAAGCTCATATAATGTCCGTGCTAGTATGGTAGAATTCCCCTTGTCACATCTACCTCCGAGGCGGACAAATTTATCCTCGAAACCGGCAATGTGGGTAAGCAACTGATCAAGAGCGTGATTAGTCTGAGCGGCGACGATAATTGGTCCATCTCTTCTATTGCTCAACATAACCTTAAGAGCTTGGACGGAAGTAAACGTCTTACCAGTACCAGGTGGGCCCTACGAACGAGAGACAAAGTCAGTTTAGAGCTCATGTGAGTTCATGTTTGAATTATGATACCCTACCATGATAGAAGATAGGAGAGCCGTTCCTCACCTGTACGATTGCTAAGCTCTGAGTGAGCATGCGTCTACAAGCCGCGAGCTGGGATTCATCCATTCCTGATTTAGGAAGAGCCGGAAACCCCTTCAAGACATCGACATGGCACAGATCTTCTTCTTCTTCATCGGTGAGACCTGAAAGAAGATCACCACTTGACAAGGCAATCGAACGGAGATCCAGATAAGGTCTTTCCTTGAGATGATTGGGGGTCAAAATATTCTGATCCATTTGGATCAGATACTTTTCAATATAGGGCCTATTCTCATTAGCATCCAGTCTTGTCAATGTGTTTGTATTTTGTACATACGATTCTTCAGTGGTCAACTTCTGGAGTGCTACAAGTACATGGCGGTATGCCTCAAAAAATCCGAGACGGGACTGTATCATGATATATGCTATCAGAAAGAATTAGCCTCTGGTAAAGCTACGACATTTATGCAACTTACATTCGACCGGATTTAAAATTATATCATCATCGTCGCCAAAGAAGATGTCAACTTGTGGAGGGTCGAGGTCTAGACCACCTTCTATAGGGCGAGCTGCAACAGTACCAACTTTACAAACGGAACGAAACATATCGTTAGTTGGACTTAAACAGACAAGACTACCAGGTGTAAGTCGACTCGACTGCTCCCAACGAATTCGTTTTCCTGCTCTGTCGCTTGAGAATTCAATCCGGAATGCTGGACCGAGAGGACTTAATTGAAGACCTACGAGGTGGACCTATAATAATATTAGCAAACACGCCGCTGTTAATTGCATTGTCGCATAGCATACATCAGTGTAAATGGTAGTATTTTCTGTATCGCCCATCTGATCATTTCTCTTAAAGTTCGCGACCGATTGGCGAAGGGGGGCAACTGCATCTTCACGTAGGATCCGGTAATGGAAACCAAGATATTCTTCCTTAGATCCCCAAGCTCCGTCGATGTTGTTGTGAGGCAAACGAGGATCAAAATCTTTCGGTTCTACCAGCTTTTGGTAATCCAGAGGCTGCTCTGGAGCTTTTGTATCTTGCCATGATACATCCTGAAGGATTTCATCACTAGTTGGAACTTCGGGAAGGTTCCTCCAAGGTTCACGAAAATTTATTCTTGCGTAAGTTTTCTGGACGTGTTCTCGCAACTCACGATTAGCTAGAGACTTGTTGTATACCATGACGGCCTTCTTTGCCCTATAATCAGAAGTAAGCCTAGCTTCTTAATTCTTTTGATTTCTTTAAACAAGTGGATCTTACTGGAATTGGTGACCAGAATACTAAACTAAATAACCAATTGACGTGTTGAAAACTTGGGGTGTAAAAATTTCAGTTCCACACTGGCAGTATACACCAATACAAGTGAATAGAGGTTTGCGTCAGATGAAAGGTGGAAGAAGTTTTGTATACGGTAGTATTCTGAAGTGATGGCTGTTCAGAAGGATGCTTGTTTCTGTCCGACTTTTCAAATACTCTGAGTAAGTTGGAGGTAATTAAAAGCAAATGCGCAAAACTGTACGAGTATAGATTATGATGTTGAAGACAGCTTCAAAGAAGAGCTTATATGAATAATGATTTGCTTACTTACCTGATCAAGTACAAATGTTGCGAGTGGGAAAGAGAATTTCACGATCGATAGGACTTTGAAATTCCTTACAACCACAGTTAGTATCATCATGTTATCTTCGTCATGAATCAACTGTAGAGAGTTGGTTTTTCTCACCTAAAGTTAGATTGTTGATGGCCAAAATGATTCCAATTGCGTTTGCAACTGCAAGGCAAGCAAGATGAAGCTTCTCGAATGCGTGCTTCATTCAGCCTTGGGTGACAATGATGGCGATTGAAAAACCATATGGCAAGTTGGAAAAATGTAAACAGTCGCAAAAGGCCATCCACGAAACGCGCAAATTGAGGTCACAAGAAGTAGTAAATTGAATTGATCTTGTCGCTCGCTTTTATTTCAGAATGGGTGATAAATGGGGTTTGAAGGTTGCTTAAGAAGTTGACAGCGAAAATCTTTGAAAATGAAGATGGAGATGAAGATCAAAATTGGGAAGGATTCACCTTCTATTCAATTTACAAGCGAGAAACTGAATTGAATCGGATGAAGAAGGATCGGAAACTACAATGAGGAAAAAGACGATAAATATTCTAAACCTTCTCTTAATTCTTTTGGTGTGTGAAATAAAATGAAACGAAATGAAATCTCGAATTATATTGGAGGTACAGTATGTGAGAAAGAGAGAGAGAGAGAGAGAAGATGTAGATATAGAGGTAGGTGTAGATGTAGATGATGGTTTATTTACGCACCCATCCACCCACCTAGGTAGATAGATCACTTCCGCTCGTTTCCAAGTTGGCTCGGCATCTTGCATCTTTACATCTTGCATATACATATCAATACTTTTGTTTTTTCTGAAGGCAAACAAAGATTAATATGGCTGTATGGTTTGTCAATCTGTACACCAATCACCTCACCAACCTCATCAACCTTACATGTGCCTCCTTACAAACTATACGGAAAACAATACTCAAGTATTATAAATTGATATGATGGATGAAACAAACCTGTGATGAGTATTACTCAGATCTTGGGAGTATAAGTATAACTGACCACAAGTGATTAACGAGATCACATACATATCTCAATTCAGCATTTTGCCGGTATCTTAAAGGTTTGATGCGTGTTTCGTGCTGGATATTTCAATTTTGAGTTGAGAGGTCTTAATCCTCACCTCATTGAGATGTCCCTGGGCATGATTCGAGTTGGGGTGATGCGATGAGGGGGAAATTGGGGAACTGCATCGAAAGCTACCGGTAGTTGATATGGATCTACTCGTAGAAGGGAACACTTTGGAATACAGTACTTTCTTCAAAGTCAATACCACAGGCTTGTCTTGCTGCAAGAAAGGGAAATTTGAGATGTGCTTGTTGGATTTAACCCCAATTTGTATTCTTCCAGCCTGGTTGTCGATTGGCAGCTGGAGTGAAGGAAGCTCTTCATTTTTACATACCGGTATCTCATCCTCAGACCCCTGCTTCAATGAATGGGGTTTCTGTGACTTGCCCATAAATCGTGATTATACGCACTTTCAACCAATGAGAGGGCATCTGTAAGTGATCTTTCTTAACTGTCCTAACTGTCCTTATACAATAGAATACCATTGGCAGATTGATAGATTTATGGAAAGAAGGTCAGTGCTTCGAAGAAGGATAACTTGTATGAAAGAAGCCACGTGACACGCACCGCCTTTGTGTCCTAGCTTGCGGCCGCTCCCGGTTTCCATGAGAACCGGTTCTCCATGACCGACCCTGTCTTCACTTCAATGATACCAAACTATCGTCCCAATATAATTATCAAATCTTCAATTGATTGTACAAAGACTTATAACTTGAGGAGAAATTGGAATGTTTCAATTGTCTGACAAATCTACAAAACATATTACTCTTTTGTTGAAGTTCCAACTCCTCGTCATCTATTTCCGATTATCAAAGTCTGTACATCCTTATGCGCCCCGCGTTACCTCATAATCGATTTGAAGCCAAATAGCTTGCGCCAACGCGAATTCATTATTAGTCGAACCCGGAGAACTATATTGTGGAGGAGAGGCTCATAGGTGGTCGAAATGGTGGATTTCGCGCTAGATGATGACGATCGAGGTAAATAGAAATGGGCGCCTACTTATCATGAATCAGTACTGACTTGCACTTTCCCAGGATCGAACGCGAGTTCCGACAATGAACAAGATGATATGATGGAGGACGCAGATGACCTCGACCCTGAAGCGGATGGTGACGGGGACGGGGATGGAGATGGAGATGGGGACGAAGATGCGGATGATGACGACAATGATGACGATAATGCCGAGGACGACCAGGACGACGGCGAGGGTGAAGACGATTCTGCTTCGCAGATCCGAAGATCAAGCTTACCCACTGCGAATGACCACTCGAACGGTTTTCTAAGATCAGGGCAAATGAATGGTGCAGATTCCACATCGCATCCACATCTGACCTTAACAAGGACTTCAGCGTCGCCGCGACACATCTCGGGTCCATGCCCGCGATTCAGATACGAAGTTAGGCCTGAAGCATTAACTGCTTCTACGTATGATATAGTACCTACAATAGCCGCCCCGCAGAGTACATCGATCAATGCGATTACGGCAACACCTGATATGAGATACTGGTTCAGTGGCGGCTCGGACTGTTTTATAAGGAAATATCATGGGGTCGACACAGTGAATGGTAAAACATTACTAACTGTTGCCCAAAGACATCCTTTCGTCGATAGTGTGGTTAAAGCTGGAGTACTTATGAGCTATTGGGATAATGAAGAAGCGAGCAGAGGTCCTGGAGGAGAGGAGCATTCATTATCTCCAGTATATTCATTGGCAGTACAAGCTGAGGCTCTTTGGATGTTATCTGGACTTGAATCAGGAAGCATAAATCTACAGTCGGTACGGCATGATGAAGGCAAGAGAATTGCGAGTCTCCAAATGCATACATCTGCGGTCTCGGTACTTACTCTCGCTCGCGATGAAAAATCGGTTCTATCAGGAAGTTGGGACAAAAAGGTTCTGGATTGGGATTTGAATACCGGACTGGTCAAACGCGCATTCGATGGTAGCGGAGGTCAGATCTCGGCGATCGAAATAAGGCCGGCTTCTACACTACCAGTCCCCGAAGAATCTGGCGAGCCAACGCCTCAAAACGGAACCTTCTCTAGTAATAATGGCGAAAGAACATTATTGAATGGATCTTTTAGTGGAGTCAATGGGACGAATGGGACAAATGGAGAGGCGGAAGGCAACGAGGATGCTCCTGGGTCGCCTGCGGATTCTCTTTTTGGGGGTGGAGATTCATTGTTCGGAGATACCGATGGGCTGGGAGCTCCATCAGGTGGAAACTTTGGTGACGATGAAGATGAGTTCTCAAAAGGCCTAGACATAAACATAGAAGCACGTCCAGATTCTCAAGGTGATATATCTATGATGGACGCTCCACATCCACTGATTGAGGAAGAGCCCGCTCCATTTGAACAGCTACAAACCATGTCAGACCTACCCAATGGACTACCTCACTCTGATGAAATCATCGAGGCAAAGGTGGAGCCCGAAACTCAAGATGCTGATGCGACCTCTGACTCAACTTTCCTCGCCGCCTCCATCGATGGAAGTATTCGTGTTTGGGACAGACGTCAACCGAACCCAATTGCTCGAATTTTGACCAGGACAGGAGTTCCTCCATGGTGTATGGCCGCTTGCTGGTCACCTGATGGAAATTACATTTATGCCGGTCGAAGAAATGGCACAGTGGAGGAGTTCAGTTTACACAAAGGTCTCAAACAACCCGAAAGAACATTCAAATTTCCAAATGGGAGTGGCGCAGTCAGTGCCATGAGAGCCATGCCAAATGGAAGACATTTGATTTGGTACGTTTAGTAATTTTCTTCCTTCTTCATTGGTCGTACTAATTATTATACAGTGCATCGCACGATATCCTACGTTTGTATGATCTCAAAGCACCACAAACAAAGTCACAACCACAAACAAAGTCACAATTACAAACAAAGTCACATTCATCCGTCCCTTTCCTTATCGTTCCTGGACCTCCACGCGCTGGCGTCATATCGGCACTTCACATCGATCCAACTTGCAAATACATGATATCCGCCGCCGGAAACCGAGGTTGGGAAGGTACCAGTACTGAAGTTATGATTGGATACGAGATCAACATTCCTTCTTAAATATCTCGACTAGGGCATCACAATGGTCACAAAAACTTTCGATCATCTTCACACGGTACTTATATTTGGGGGTAACTGGAGGTGTTATTGGCATTCAAATGGACGACATTGTAAATTCATCATCTAAAATCGACCCGACCCGGACCCGATTCGATTCCTTTCTCTTGTATATATGTGCAAAAACAAAAGCAACACTTCCGACAATGTATAATTACGATGACTAGGTACTCAATATCATACATGGATGGATGGAGTATGCGATGGGATGGGATGGATCATTTTGCATATGAAAGGCGTTTAGTGGATATGGGGATACCACGGGGGCATGGCATGGACAAGATTCAGTATTACATGTTATTTATATATATACAGCTTAGCTTCAATTTGATGAAAATTCCATCTTATTTCATACTGATACTGGTACTGGTGGTGCTGTTTACTGGTGGTGATTACTAGCTCTTTTGATGGTGTGTTTGTTGTGAAAATAGCTGGTGAAAATAGCTATCCTATTTTCGATATACTCAAGTATATGTGAGTGAGTGTGAGTTAATAATGATAATATCAATTGTTAGAGTTAATTGGCTCTAACTCGAAAACTCGAGAAAAATATATACTAGGTAGGTAAGTAGGTAGGTAAGTAGGTTCAAATCCCCCCACCACATTCTTGTCAGACGGAGTCTTTGAATGATTTGACATGACGAGTCACGAGTTGGTTGTTAGTAAGTATGTATGATGTATGATATATAGATGTATGATGTATGGCAGGCAGGATGGCAGGATGTTAGAGAGATTCTTAGGAGAGATTTGTATTAGTGGTGAGGAAATTATGTATGGCTTGTGGTATGGCTATACTCGAGTAGAGTCAATCACTATTCGAGTAATTACAAAGGAATGATACTAATACAAGGAAAGGGCTAGGATAGGCAGAGAATTAGCTACCCCCATCATCTCTTCTTCTCTTCCTCCCCTCACCCCTCATCTCTTATTCTCTTCCTCCCCTCACCCCTCGCCTCTTTTCTCTTCCTATCCCTACCCCTCCTCTCCTCCCCAACCTCCGCAAAAACAGCCCCCGAAACCAAACCCAAAACCAATAATGAAGTACATACTCGACCTCGACCTCGAGCTTAAAATCACCACTTCACCATATACATATATACATCAACATACATACATCAAAGTCACCGCCACAACCACAACCACTGCCACAAACACCCGAAAGTTGAAATCGCTTATTCTATCTCGTTCTGGGTCTTGCATAAGTAAATTTAAGAGAAGAGATGATAAGGTTATTGTTTTTGGGAGTGAGAGAGGGAGAGGGGATTGGGAATTGGAAGTGGGAGTGGGAGTGGGAGTTGGAGAGGGAGAGGAGATAAGATGAGATGGAGGAGAGGAGATGAGAAGAGAGGAGGTGGTGAAGGTAAATATACGGGTGAAGTTGGACTTGGAGGTCCAATTAAATTTAAAGTTAAAGTTCGAGATGCGGGTAGAGTCTACATATGTAGACGAGAGATATGACTACGATATTCCGTTTCCCAACTAACATCTCATAATAATGAGTTTGATAGGGTAGGGCGTTCATAGATTTGATTGGATTGATAATTGGATTTGTCAAATTGTTAAGTGGTGAATTGGATGTTGTCGATGCCGAATATGAAGTTGTCGGTGGTAGATAGTATAGGAAGGAAGATGAGTTTGAGGGGTGTAGTGGGAAATTAAAAATGAGCAATGAGGAAATGAGGAAATAAGGAGATGATGTAGAGGGGTTTGAGGGTGGTGGAGTAGATGGAGGAGGTGGAGGAGGTGGAGGAGGTGGAGGAGGTGGAGGAGGTGGGGGAAGTGTGGTTATGTTATAACGGTTTTTAATTCTTTTATAGGAGAAGTAAATGGAGAGGAAGCTTCTTCTGATGTTGTTGTAATGAGGGCTGGTGAGGGAAGGGTATTTCAGGGGTTGTGGTGCTGCCGGTTGTAGTTATTGTAATGGGTGAAAACTGAGTTTTGTTTAGATGTTGAGATTTAGCTTGAGAATATTGTAGTTTTTTGATGATTTATTAATCTGCACATTTCATCCATAAATCTCGTAATATCTTATATATTATATTTTGTCACATTATGCCGGAAGAAAAGAAATACCTGGTAAGGCTGTATTAATCCCTTTTAGGTGCGATGTAGCGCTTTGTAACCTAATATTTCTGACACGATACTTTCAAATGATCTATAGCTTGAATTATAAACTAGACGCTATATGCCATTAAACTCCTGGCGACAATAGGCCCCACTAAAAAGTCCCCTCGCTTGGCACCAGATATTCGAAAAAGCAACTCCCAGCCCATTTATATATCATACATCAAGTCTCATGCATCAAGTCTCATACATCAAGTCACTGGATAATTTCAATACTTCCCCTTTAATTCATATGCAGCGCTTTTTATACAATGCCCGGAGTACCATCTGCTCGTGGATGCGAAGCATGTCGCAGCCAGAAAAAGAAGGTTTGAGTGCCCCTCAAATTCAGTTCACGAATTAAGAATGAAATGAAATATTCTGATAGTGAATCGTGTGATCAGATCCAACTAACATGTCAAGATGTATTCGGCTGGCTATTCCCTGCATAGGTAGTGGAATGCAACGATATAAATTCGTCGAAGAACACTCGACTAGTTCGGCTGTCAGTCCTGTAACCATTAGACCCACCGTGACGAATGGAAGCACTTGTCAAAACAGAAGTATGGCGAGGGAAGAAATAGTAAGGATGCCGAGTAATGGAACAACCGCTTTAACGGGTGCCATTATTTCTGTGCTTGAAGTAAAGGATATTCGCTATAATCTTGGAGTTTATGGGGAGTTTCTCCAGGGGGTCCCTAGCCGTCTTGGGATCAGTGCTGCGCTGGATGCATCGGTCAATGCTATTGCGACTTCTTATGCATCGATTCATTCGCGGAAGAAACCCGTCGCAGCACTGGAGAGGTATGGAAAAGGGTTGCACGCTCTGAGAGCTTCTTTAAATGATCTGATAGAGGCTAGTTCAGCTAATACGATATGCGCGTTCTACCTAATGATGATTTGTCAGGTGAGTACAAGCCGAAAATATGAGAATGACAAAATTGATGTTTTGTTAGACGTGGATGGCGCATGGAGAAAACAATGCAGATCACGGCGAAGTGCTGAAGTATTTGTTGAATGCAGCTGCAGCTCAACAATGGCAGGGTAGCTTTGAAAATGACCTACTCATTACTTTGTGTGTACCTTTGGTAAGAATGCATAGTCCTACCACCAAAGTGGCTGGAACAATTCCACTGATAAAGCGTGATAGATCATGGCAAGCATTCGAAACCCCAAGCTCCAATGGACCGCGCGACTAGGAAAACTAACAGAAGCCCGCGATAAAGCCATCGGAATCGAAAGTCTCAAGCTCCAAGTCTTGGCCCAGATCCCCGAGTTTTTGAGATGTCCACAAGTGTACTTACCCTTACCTGCCATAACATCCACGTATCATCAGATGACCATTGATCTCTCCAACATGCGGAATTCTCTGGATAATCTTGATCGAGACCCTCATGCCCAAACATTACATGCTCGTTTTCAAGCTGGGTATACTCTTGTACTTGCATTTGCCAATATCCTAAACAGCATACTACGTGCCTTTCCACACGTCGCCCCCGATGATATAATTTTGCTCTCAACATCCGTGGCGTTTGTCGAAAAAACCATTACGCTAGCTGAAGACGCACTCAGATATAGACCCTTGGGTTCAAGTTCCATGCCACTTGTTCTAACCACTGCTTGGGTAGCTACCAAACAGTTATCCCAGAAAAGTAGAATCGAGAAGCTGGTGGAAGAATATCAATCGGATTTTGCGATTATGAATTGGATGGACGTTGCTTTCTGGCTAGAAGCTAGGCTGAATAATGTACACCTTCCACTTCAGGATTTGGAAGTCATCTCGCCAGAGTAATTGAATTAGATTGAGAGAGAATAGAACTTATGGGTAAATGATCGGTCCTTCCAGAGCATTCCTTTTTTTTGATCGGGTACCGGTAGATCTAGGGGTCGTGAAAAGAGCATTGTATTGTATTATTATGTTTTAGGATTAGAACTTAGAACGTAGATGGAATCCAAGTTGGATTTTATTCCAATATCAACTTCATCTCATGAAGATTACACTATTCATCCATGATACATCCCTTCTTTACCCAACCCAAAGAAGCTATTTCAGACTTCATCTTCTGTAACAGAAGTATTACATCATCACACTATCGCCTGTACCTTCCGCATCTTTTCAACCTCTCGCATAATTCCCACTCTATCTACTGTATAACTATTGACTATAGAAGAGTGATCATACCAATTTCTTGCCAGAACATCCTCAAGATCTATCAGGACTGGACTCAGACCATGCATAGCATAAGTGAACCTCTTAGTAGTAACCATAGATTAGATATTCCCAAAGCTCATCGTTTTTTTTTCAACTTGAGGACTTGAGGATTCCACAATCATTAAACCCAGCATGACAAACACGAGATATGTCGACAGGAATAGGATCCTCAATCGTGGGGATGGCATTGTAAATCATTAGAAACTAAGCAAACTTGGCTAGACCATCTATTGTGTTGAGCGGGAATGTAGCTATAACTTATTATACCTAGAGCAATACATAATAGTGCGCGGTAAATATCTTTCAATTGTCTAGGTACTCGAGTATTTCGTGAATATTACTACTGTGCATACGTAACAAAATCAGAGTTTCCATCTTAGCAAGCAAGCCGTTCGTATATCGATATAACATCTTAATATCTCCACTCGTACTCGAAGTAGAATAGAACCCTCACATACCAAAAACAACCAACCAACCATAAAATAACCACAAATCAGCTTAGAAAACAAATTCTTCATAAGTAATCCCCAGCAAAATAATGCAGGCCCGAGAATACCGCATTGATGTTTTCTGAAAGCTATTTGTTAGTAATGATTAGTATGTTCTACCACCCATCACGTGTTGTGTTGTGGCCTTCTTGTCGTCTATTTTCCTTTCTCCATGTAACTGTACTGTATGATTTTGCCAGAATTGAATGTCAAACCAAAATCGCATGCTTATTTATCTCTTGGAATGTTGCATCAATGATGGAAATCCTCATGAAACAATAGCTTAACTTAAATAGAAACATATAATTCAAGTAGTCTGATCTTATTTGCACAACAGTGAGTTTCAAATACAATCAAACCAAGTCCAAATGTAGATATAATACAAGCGTAACCTCTAACATACCTATCTGTGAAGATTCATCGGCTATATAGATCTAAATCCTCCATTCTACGTATCCATAACTAGCCTCTCCAATTTCTCTCTCTCACCACTGTGATCCAACATCTTACGAAACGCCCCGTCTCTATTCTGCAACAACTTCTTCGGTTCATCAAACTCCACCACCTCTCCATTATCTAAAACCAGAATTTTATCAAAATCGGCAATAGTGCTCAACCGATGCGCGATAACGATTAAAGTGCTACCATCGAAACGCTCACGGATACTGCGTTGGATCAACGTATCGGTAGCCATATCCACCGCACTGGTAGCTTCATCCAGAACCATGATTTTGGGTCGCGATACAATTGCACGGGCTAAGCAGACAAGCTGTCTTTCACCCTGAGATAAGCTGAGTCCACCCTCGGAGATGGCTGAATCTAGACTTTCGAATGTGGTTTTTCCTTGGCTTTGTTTTTGGTCTTCTTCGTGTGTGTTGAGGGGTGTCTGTAGTAGATGAACATGTCTAAGTGCTTGTAAGAGAACTTCCTCGTCGTAGACGCCGAAAAGGTCAAGGTTAGATCTCAGGGTTCCAGAAAATAATACAGGGTCTTGAGGAATGATAGCCAGACGACTTCGTAGTTCGTGGAGCGTGATTTCCGAAATATCCACGCCGTCGATAATGATATTACCAGAGCGAGCTGCGATGAAACGGAAAAGCGCCAAGGTGAGTGATGATTTTCCACTGCCTGTTCTTCCAATGACTCCTATTCTTTGACCTCCCTTGATTTTTAATGTGATACCTTTCAACACAGGTGGCAACTCTGGTGCATATGCTGCTACTAAGTTTTTAATTTCGATATCACCATGAGCTGGCCAGTTTTGAGGCGGTGAAATTCCAGATTGGTTTTCTACCGGCATATTCGTGTATTCAACTACTCGTTCAGTGGAGTTCATATCCAATTCTATTGCCGAGTATCTTCGAATCATCTCAACAACTGCTTCGCTATATTTGAGCGAGAAGCTCAACGCGAACCCAGCAAGCGCTGCATCAATCTGTGGTCTTGCTACGACGACGGAAGCTACAGCAAAAGAAAATGCAGCGCCAATAGCACTCATACGAAATGACATCCATCGCTGTGTCAGCCAAAGATTCCACGTTGCACGGGCATATTCATCTAATCTGTCGTGCATGAGAGTTAGATACTCATCGGTTTTCCTAAAAGCACGAATAGTGATGATTCCTGTCAAAGTGGATCCATAATGTTCGAATACCGGTGACTGTGCTGTCGCTTCAAGTCTCTTGATCTCTCTTGCACCCGGTAGATACTCGGCTACGTAGTAAACGGAAACGGCACTCAGAACTAGGGATGGTATTAACATATAGATTGAAACAAATAGGCCGGCAGTAACGATTGCAAGGAAGGCAAGACCTTCTTCCCAAAAGTGGCTAATGTCTCGGGCCAATTTAGTATCGATGGCGGTGAAGTCGGAGGAAAATCGATTGAGAACTCTTCCCTGTGGTACTTTGTCAAGCCACCTCAGCGGTGCACGTAGTACAGTGAAAGTAAATGCATCAAACAATTTGCGTGATGCTTCTATACAACCATGGCAAAAAAAGGCAAATTTGATCCCTGACAGTGCGGCGGCCATAAGTGATATGAATAGGTACCAACCAAGGTAAAAGTATAGATGGCCGTTACCCAAATTAGATGATTCTTGGCGAGAATCTACAGTGGGCTTAACATTGTTGTGGTTCTCGGTCCACAGCTTCACAAGCCAAGCACGACCCAGTAGTGCGGCTTGCGCCAAAACGAAGACGCCTAATGCGGTGAACCAAAAGCGAAATCCTCCAGCAGCGCTCATATAAACTTTGTATACAGTCCACTTAATGCGCCCACGCTCGCGAACTTCTTCTTCCACAAATCTTGTCGGTTTGGGTGGCTCGATGATTTCTAGATTCTCAAAGGAGGAGTCTGAGGTATAGCTTGAGTCTCGACTCTGCTTCGCCTTCGCGGTCGAAGATCTAACACGTGACGTGGATTGAGGCTTTTGAGTTATTGTCCGAGCAATGCTACTGGCGTGAGTGGAGTTTGATAGTCGGACGATATAAGAAGCGTGTGGTAAAGCAAGATCCTCGTGATGAGTTGCCAGGATTCTTGTCCTTCCTTCGGCGAGGGAACCCAGTAGTCCATGCTCGAGAATGTGACGGCCAACGTGCGCATCAACAGCACTAAAGATATCATCAAGTACGAGCGTGCCAGCGCGCGAGTACAACGCTCGCGCATAAGTTATTCTCCATCTTTGACCGCCACTTAAGTTAATACCATTAGCCCCCACCTCAGTTAGTTCTCCATCTGGCATGATTTCAATATCTGTTTCAAGCGCGCATGCCCAGACAACTTGTTCGTAACGCTCGCGAATAAACGGAAGGCCGAACAGAATGTTGTCGCGGATAGTGGCATTCTCAGTCCATGGTATCTGAGCGACATACGCAACTAATGAGTGATCGATCCATTCTTCTTCTGCATCTACCGATTGAGTCCCTGGTAGGCTGATACTACCAGCAGTAACGTCTGACTCGCCTAAGATAGAAGCAAGGAGAAGACTCTTGCCAGATCCTGTCTTTCCGCAAATAATACTATCAAATGTTAGAACCGACCTCGCGACAAAATATGGAAATTTCAACCAACTTACCTAAGCTCGGACTTAGGAAATTCCAGATCCAAATCTCTGAGCGAAAATGCATCACTAGATTCAACATTGGACGGCCAACGAACTGTCGCATGATTGAAAAGAACAATTTCACCTGTCATTTGAGGCATTGTCTTCTCTTCTCTTTCAAGGTGCTTCTCGATTCTTCCGACGCTTACATTTGCATCGATGGCTTCTGTAATGAGGTTAGGTACAACGCTTAAGGCATATTCGAGAGTCCCAAATATTGAGAGTGCAGTAAAAGCCACAGCCGGTGACATTCCGCCATTTTGCCAACCATACACAGCAAGCGCCACAGTGCTGAACAGAAGCGGTGCAGATGCCCAGATACAAAGCAGACCGCTAGTAAGAACATAAACGAGCCATTGTTCTTTCAGTTCCTTGGTCCTGATTGTCATGATCATCGCTTGCCAACGTCCTTCAAGGGAGGTAAATTTAATCTGACGAATTCCTTGTAATGCCTCACCAACAATAGCCATCCTCTGATCTCGAATAGACATAACGGAGCCCTGGGCATCTGAATATAAACGTGTAGCTCGGAGATTGAGAGGCGTCAACATGATTGGCATAACAAGGCCAGCACAGACACCTTGCCAACCCAGAAGTCGGAATAGAATTAAGAGCGCGAATGATAAATTAACAAGAGTGCTAAGAAATAGATTATTTTCCGCAGCGAAGTTGGAAATGCGGACGGCATCAGAGCCCACCAGATTGATGAATCCTTGGTGCACCCCGGAAGAAGTTTCGTCCTCTTCCTCGCCAGATTTTGTTAGCTCCTCATTGTCGGGTGACTCGTTGGCTCTAGATGAGTCGCCTAGTAAGTTTTCATCTTCTGGTACCTCGTCACCAGGTTCCACGTCTACCGAGCTCTGTTCAGCTTCTTTCTCATCACCGACTTCGGTCCCTTTGATATCTTTCGTGCGTAAAGACTTCCGAAAGATCATTGCCGCGAGCTGTGATCGTACTGGGACAGATAAAAGCGCCCAATTAGTCCACTCCAACCTGCGCAATCGTTTAGTATTGTTCATCGACCTTTCTGAGCATTGCATTAACTTACCAGGACTCGACCACTACTTGTGCCATCTTTGCAAGGCCTAAAGCCACGACCCAAAACCAAACGTCCAAAGAATTGAAATGTGCGTCACCTCGTTGCTCGAGAAGCGTGAGGATTTGGAGCATACATAGTTGAGGTGCGTATAAGGCGAACCCTGACGCGATGGTTAAGCTCCATTGCAAGAAGAACTTTGCGCGATGCGCCCGGAAGACTGTTAGCCATAGCGATCGACTTCTGCGCTTCGTAAGCTCCGAGATTTGAGATAGCAGTTCATCAGATCGGCCTGCTTGATCCAAGGCTGGCAAGTCCTCATACTCCAGTCTGCCCTCAACCTTGGCCCTAGTAAGTAGCGATTGTGTCCAGCTAAATGAGTATCTATTTCATGCGTTTTGGGTTAGAACTCGAAACAACATCCAGTAAAGCATAGCACTCACCTTTCAATTGCTGAGACAGTGAGCTGTCCATCTACTGGTCGCCCATGATAAATCACGCCAGGTCTACGAGGAAGTAGAAATGCACAGATTCCCGCCAGTAGAAGAGATATCAATTCACCGACAACTAGGAACCCGATGCTTCTGGTTGCCTCCGGGGTTCCTCGATATACCCAGTACACGTGATAGAGAGATGCAACTATAGAAACAAAGCAGGAAGTTCCGGCGCAGCAACCAATATTGAATCTCTTCACAGGGCTTGAAACACCAAAGAGTAAACCTAATTGCATTCCAATCAGAATCTAATGTAAAAAGTTAGTATAGAAGAATATCTGACTTTACACAAGCCACTTACACGTGCTATAATTTGGGGGAGAGGTGGCTGAGCCGCCTCGATAGGTAGCAGCCGTATCAGCACAAATATCAAATCAATAACAAGAAAAGTTAATGCCAGCGTCTTTGGGAGTCGATCAGAGAATTGTTTCAGCTCCTTCGGGTCGGCATCTCCATCGTTGTCACTATAGCCTTGAGAGGTTGAGAGATGGCTGTATCTGTAACCTAGACGTCGAGCACGCAGGCTACTGAATGAAAATGAAGCTTTTGCCTCATAACCAGCCCATAGAGAAGCTAAGCCTACAAACACGAGAGACAGCATGCCCTCCGAATTACTGTCAGTGATTCCGGCCATGGTTCCGTACCAGAATGAGACCTGTGAGGCTTGTGGTTCGGGTCGAAGCAGGGCGGAAATGTAAAAGGAGGGAATCGGACTTTCACAAACAAATAAACAAACAAATAAAATAATCATCCAAACGTTGTGAGCAAGCACACAAGCCCTAATCCCAACAAATAGGATCGCCCACTCTGCCACTCGCACAGTAAGCTTGATTCGGCATTGTATGACGGGGCAAAAGGGCAGGGGGATTACCCATGTTTCGGCATGAAATCTTTGGCCTTGAGCTCGGCTTTAAGAGGCTGAGATGATTTGATAGGTTAATAAGATTATTATATTATTATGATTAAGGGTAATATTCCTAGGGCTTATTATTATGCAGAGATGACAATAATCTCATTACGACATTTGTAATGACACTGCACACTGCATCTGGGGATATTCACCGTCTTTTCAGGCAGAATTTAAGTTTTACGGTAAAACAAGCGCGTAAATTGTTTCAGTAGTCTAATCCTATTTAGGCAGTTGGTAAAAACCACTTCACAACACCACAATCCACATCCATCCTCAAATTAACATCTCCAATTTTCAACTCAATCATTCAAATCCGCCACGGTTTGGGTCCTCCATCTACAAAGACTCCAGCGGATACATTGTATCTTCCCAATATTACCAGTATACTGTAATATGTAGACTGAAGCTAATTCGGTAAGATTACTATCACAGAGGCGTGAAGCGTACCCATAGCTTGTCTTCAAGTGATCCAGCTGGAAATTGACCAAACGTCTCCGGATTAATTACTGTAGTACGAAAGTTTGTGAAAATTGCCACCAACATGTACCGCATGACTAGAAAAACATCAGCCATGATCAATTAGTCTCGGAGGATTTGACACCAGTGATGCCAAACTTCCGCGGGCGAATCTAGATTGAAACTTACTGTAGTATGTGAAGTTGACTCCAATACACATCCGGGGACCGCTGCCAAAAGCCCAAAGCCGGCTTTCACCTTCTTTGTCATCTTTGCTCTCGAGCCATCTTTCCGGCTTCCACTCATCTACCTCCTTCCATTTGGTGGGGTCACGATGTATGAGCCATTGAAACGTATTCACCCTTGTTGCAGGAGGGATGTCATGATAGCCTGCGAGGGATACCGATCGATCATGTGGTGTTATTCGTGGCAAAGGTGTACTATTAGGACGCATGCGAAAGGACTCCATGAGTATTGCCGACAGGTATGGAAGCTTGTCTAATACAGATGGTTCTGGCATAGTGGTTTTCTCGTCGTCCGTGGACGGTTGTTTCATGGAAACACCCGCTGTCGCCAGCTCATCCCGGAGACGGTCCTGAGCATTGGGATGCCTGGATATGTAGTAAATCGTGTAGGCAACCACAAGGCCAAGAACCTCACGAGCTCCAGACATGTGATCAAAAAGTTCACTCGCAACTGCCAAACGATCTTGTTGCAAATTCTTGTCGGGAGAAACTTTAACTTGTCCTAATTTTACTTGTTGGTAGACAAGCGGCGTGTCTTCTGGTTTCATGTACTCATCATCGAGTACCGCGTCAGCGCTGTCGCACATTTTCATCATCCAGTCTTCCAAGTATTGTGTCGATTCGACATAGCCTTCAGGCAAGAAATCAACACCCAGGAATTTGAGAACACGGGTGGTCGTTGGCAGCTCTTGACTCCAGAACGCCTCTGAGCAAAACCTCTTCTCATAGTGTTCAAGCCACTCCCTGACTTCGCGCGGAGAATCTTCGATGAAGTTAGAACCAGACTTATAGCCAAAAATGAATTGCGTCACTACATCAATGCAGAGAGAGTAGCTGATCTCGAGCAATTCAGATGGCTGATTTTGTCTGGATTGGGTCATGAGGGATGGAATGAAGCGATCATAAAGCATCTTCTGGGCCATGATGAGAAGCTCATCAGACTTGAACAGTGCCGACTTCGTATAAACCCCTGAAATGCGCTTTCGGTGGTAGGTATGATCATGCTGTGTCAAGCTACAGAATGAATTTGGCTTTCTGTCTTGGTGTAAGCATACCATAAGGCTTCGACATATAATTTGTTGAACATACCCATAATAACTAAAGAAATCATAGTACATAGGCTTGTCAAAGCCACTTCCATAGATTTTCCGGACACCCTCGCTATAGCATGATACGCTGAGGTCCTTGGGGCCTAGTCTGACCAAAGGACCCAAATTCTGGTGAGCTTGATATACGGCAGCAAGCTCTTGACCACGCCATCGAGTCCATGTTATCCAGAGAGAAGAATATCCGGAAGACCAATGAATGCTGGGTACTTTTGAAAGAGGTGAGAGGAAGTAAGGAACGGCGAAATAGATAATTAGACCCGACAGTGCGGCGATGAAGGCTACAATATGCAGCGATGGCAAGTACTCATTTTCCATACTCGCAAGACATGTAAAGTAAAATGAACGAAGGATAAGCTATACAGTGCTCAGTATTAACTCCGGGTTTATTTCGATAGCTTAGGGTGTCCAATGTCTAACTTCAGTCCGACAAAACCTTACAATATTCGAAAGGCTGTTGACCTGCCAAAAGGGTTTAGTTGTTTTAATCAACAATGTTACAAATGAGCTGCATGTAATTTCATTTCTCATTTATCGGACTGTAATTTAGATCATCGCCTTTACGTTAAATTACATCACATTATCAGCTGGTATATTAGAAAAACAAAAATACAAAATCTATAGTAGTAGTACTAATCTGTTTGGGGCCATACGCCAACACGGGCATTGAGTACATTGGTTAACATCAATTACACCCGAAACAGAATATCAAGATTACATTACTCGAGTAAATTAAAATACTCACTCTCAACATGTGTTCTCGATGGTACTTGACTAGTTTAATACACCGACTTTATTACTTACTCGTAAGGTATCCTGATTGGTTATCAATATCAATACCACATTTTAATATCATTGATACCCCAGATCCGCTACTCGTGTCGCCAGAACAGCGGATCTGGGGTATGGTATACAAATTGCCGCCAATTCATCTATTTCAACAATTCCATCTTAACTATAAATAGAAATTGTGCTTTATTCCGAAACGATTCAATTGAGAAAAACGGGTATTGTTGTGGGTGATAATTTTGGTGACGGCACAAATACTGTACGGTGAGGTGGCTAAGACCATCAGGTGATCTCGATGATCTTGGTGATCCTGGTGATCTTGGTGAAATCTTGGTGAAGCCACCCATACACCTGATCCTGATAGAGTTTGAAAGATCGGCTGTGTGGAGTAAGGGGTTGCTAGAATCCGTGGGTTGGCTGTCATTGCAGTGTAACACGCTTTTTGTAAAGATGTACTCATACTGTCAGAAAGTCCACAACTCGGGTACTCCCATATGGAGATACACTAAAGGGAGACTAATCGATCATCTAAACCCTAAAAAAGCGGGCTATTCAATCAACAATAACTTATTCATGAATATTATAGATTCAACTTTATCAAGACATTTATTTCACTACTCTGAGGTTTTTCAAATCAGAAAAGAGAGGCAAATCTTTTAGATAGAGAGAGTATTTGATATTGGTTCTATTAGTGACCCATTTAATCTGCCGAGTTGCGGACTTTCTGACGGCATGAAGTACTGCAAGTCTGCAATGTAAGTAAGATCACCAAAGAAAACAATATCACGTCAGAAAGATTACAATGTCGTCAACTATGTGGTGAAGAATACTACAATCAACAATGACTATACAAGGATACGAAAACTCTGATGTTGTATTAACCTTAAGCCTCACTCCACTAATACATCTAGCTAAAATATCCGACTGATTATTAACCTTAACCCATGCCATGTTACACCCAACCCCTAAGACCAAAACACCAACTTCGTCTTTTCGCCTTCGTTCAATGGCGGTAACACACCAAAGAAGCTTGACATCCCCGTACGGCGCCTCCCAGCTTCAGCTGGAACAGGATGGACTTCGTGCATATTACGAGAGTTGAAGAAGTAAAGATCACCAACGCAAGGTTGGAAATCCGCGCGTTTATGACCCTCGACAAGCCCTGGAAAGTACCCATAACCTTCTGGGTCACGGAAGGCCAATGCTTCAGGGGACCACTGCACATCGTGTACGGTAGTCCCTCCACTATTTGGCGGTGGTGGGGATAAGCTTAAATTAAAGACAGCTTGGTGCGTCACTCGGCTAATCGACCACGATTCCGTCCGAGTGTCGTAAGGGACCCAATCGCAATGAATTGGCGTCCCGTTGTTGATTCCTCGAACAATGCCGGCAAAGTAAGACTGCGTTTCGGACACACCATTCGTCCCCTCGTCCTCTACTACCTCTGTAGCTAGCATGACTTCCCAGTTTTCAGGTGCAATTGATTTGATGAAATCAAAGACCTTTGCAAATGCATTAAGGCCAACCTCCGCGGCCAACCTTTCATGCGAGTCGCCCAACTCACGTACTGCCTGGAAGTATTGCTGCTTTTCTGCATATGTAGTCAGCTAGTGTGCTACACTGGTCTATTATGAGAGTACGTACCATTTCCGGACCTGTTTTTCACATCATCTTGGCTCTGCGCTTGAAATTCAAACTGGGCAATGCCCACTTTGTCCAATTGTGGACCAATAGCATGTAGATATGGCGTGAATCTTGGCTCTAGAGCTTTTGCTAGCTTGGAGCAGTCCTCCTTGGAAAGGAACTCAGCTTCGTGGAGGAGGGGGGTTCGACCTTCCAAAAGATCGAGAAATGATTCTTCCGTAGCACGAACTGGCTTGGTGGTCTTCCATTTTGACGCAGGAACTGACTTTTCTTCGGAAAAGTGGTGAAAGTCTGCTTCAATGTTTCTGGCTGATAGAGTATCCACTGCCATGATTTGAGATTTCGTTTGAACTGTTGGGAAAACGGTTTTTGGTCTTGAGTATCAGCTAACGTAAGGATGTTTTGTACAAAGTATGCCTTTGGGGTGAGATTTCAAGGCATATAAATATAGAATCCACACGTCCACATGATGAAGATGGAGATCTACATGCTCCGAGGACAATGGCACCACGTACCCTTGCACATTTCAGCTCATGAAACTGAGTCGTGGGATCTATCTCCACGAGATGCCCCGGTCCATACAATAAGCAGGGGTATTTGGTGCATTCTTAAAAGCAGGTATCAGTCTTTCTACTAAGCTGCCTAAGCACTAATGTTATATTGCAGACACGCGTCCCATTCCTACCGCCACTCGGTCTCGACTCGCCAGAAAGCACCGGTATGTAAATCGCCACTAAACGTTTTAGTACCAGATTTGCACATGTTCTTGTGGCACAAGTAGGTGGTACATTGGAGTCACCAGATCATCAAAGTGCCACCGACATGATTTTATGGCAAGTTCCACAATGTCCAGCTAATCTTATGGTGCCGTCTGTCCCATTACTCGGATTTATCTTGGGGTGAAGAATGGTTTATCCGGAGTCTTCTCTTTGCCCGTATTCTTCCAAGCAACTTCCTGCAAGCTTCTCGCTGATTATAGAAAATTAATTGTACTTCTACCCAAGCATGGATAGAGGTTCCGCCATGACAGTTCCTGGCAGCATCACTAGTTTGGTATCACTCGAACCAATGATTCCTTCGGAGCTCTCGTCAACAATGAATGATCTAAGAGAAAGTTCAATAGAATGCTGCCTCCATCAAATAGTCGACAGGCAAGCCCGGATCTCTCCAAATTCTGTTGCCGTTGACGCCTGGGATGGCTCTCTTACATATGGCGAGCTTTCCAGACTTTCTTCCAACCTCGCAAATCACCTAAAATGCATAGGTGTCAAACCTCAAGACTTCGTTCTGATAGTTTTTGAGAAGTGCACATTGTCCATCATTGCTATTACAGCAATCCTGAAAGCCGGCGCTATATGTGTTCCGCTTGACCCAAGTAACGCCAGTAAACGTCTTTCGACGGTTCTTGAGGACACGCAAGCACAGTTTGCTGTGACATCCACAACATACTCCGACATATGCGGAACTGCTACCAACGTTCAGACGATTGCCATCACTACAGAACTCATTTCAAATTTGGAATCCAGCGATAGTTTGAGGCAAGATGCTACTCTCACAACCCCAGATGATGCGGCTTTTCTCATGTACTCTTCTGGGAGTACAGGGCGTCCGAAAGGAATCATCCAACAGCATGGACCAATGTGCTTCAGTATTTCTCATCACAGTCGAGCCATGGGTATCACACCTCTCTCCCGAACACTACAGTTTAGTGCATATACGTTCGATACTAGTATAAGCGATATATTTGGCACTTTCATGCAAGGTGCTGTGCTATGTGTATGTTCTGACTGGGATCGGCTTAATGATCTCGCCAGAAGTATCAGAGTTCTCGATGCTAATTACATTTGCTTGACACCTACGGTTGCGGAGCAGCTTGAGCCTAATGATGTTCCATCGCTGCGAACTCTATGTGTCGGCGGTGAGGCACTATCCGCCAATCTTGTGGATCAATGGGCTGCTAAAGTTGATTTAATAAATGTTTATGGCATAACGGAATGTCTGGTATGGACATTCACAACCAAGCCAATAAAACCTGGCCAATTTTCGAGAAGTATTGGCCACCCAACATGCGGAAGAGCATGGATCACTGATGTTGATGATCCTTCTCAACTAGTTAAAATTGGCGAGATCGGAGAGCTTCTTATCGAGGGCCCTAATCTGGCCCGAGAATATTGGAATGACCCTGTAAAGACCTCCAAATCCTTCATAAGTCCACCATTATGGCTTAAAGATCTATATCCAAATGAAAAATTGGGAAGGGTGTATCGGTCTGGAGATCTAGCACGACAAGCCCATGACGGAACTCTAGAGTTTTTAGGTCGAAGAGATACGCAAGTGAAGTTGAATGGACAGCGTGTTGAGCTCGGAGAGATTGAGTATCACATGAAACGAATATTGCCAATAGGTACCCAAGCTGCAGCACATGTCATCCATGATCTGGTTAGAAATCGAGCGATTCTTGTTGCATCGATATGTTTGGGCACACATTCATTAGATGCGGAGATCAAGAACGACGGTATTCCAGTGCAGACTGGTCTGTCATCTGAGAAAACGCAAGCAGCTCAAGATTACGAAACCAATTTTGATGGAGTTGTGAATAATTTGCGTCTGGCTTTGTCTGAGTCATTGCCATCACTACTTGTTCCAACAACATTTGTACCAATACAACAGATGCCGCTTACTGTTTCCGGAAAACTTGATCGTCAGAATCTACAAGAAATGGTCTCAAATTATCTAAAATTGCATCCATTCGCATCTCATACTCATAGCAACAGCAATCCTGGAATGGGACCTGCGACAGAAATCGAGAAGCAACTTTCGAACCTTTGGTCAAGTGTCCTCGGGGTGGAAGTTCGAAATATCAGTGCCAACGATGAGTTTGTCCGGTTAGGTGGTGATTCTGCTCAGGCCATGAAGCTCGTTGCTCTGGCTCGCAAGAAGGGATTATCTCTGACGGTTGCAAACATCCTCCAGAATCAACGACTTTCTGAAATGGCAAAAGTGACCAGTCCAATAGCAACTAATTTGAAAACTACCATTCCGTCCTATTCCCTTCTGAGAGCTTCACATGAGGTGCTTCGGGCAGCGGAAGAAGAATTTGGATTGGAACAGACGTCAATACAAGATGCGTATCCTTGTACTCCACTTCAACAGGGATTGTTTGCTCTATCACTCCGTCATCATGGAGCATATGTTGCACAGACTACTATAGAGCTACCTAGTACAATATCGTCTTCCATGTACATGAAAGCTTGGGGGCAGGTCTATCAAAGTATGGCAATACTGCGTACTAGACTAATCGAGACCAGCGAGGGCTTGATTCAGGTAGTCATCGACGAGGACCTTACATGGAACTCTGCGGAAGACTACGATCAGTACCTGCATGACGATAAATCTTTACCTATGGGACTGGGATCTAGACTCAACAGATTTGCATTGATATACGGCCAGAACGGAGGATCTGATAAGCTTGTTTGGAGTGCGCATCATGCCACCTATGATGGCTGGTCAGCACCACTCGTACTTCAGGAAGTGAACCGGATTTTGATGGGCCAAAATCTCAGCTCCCGAACGAACTTCAACAACTTCATAAGCTACCTGGTAAGACAAGATGCAAAAGCGTCAGAATTATACTGGAAAAAGGAGTTACTTGAGATCGAAGCTCCTACTTTCCCCACCCGTGCCGATGCTTCTCGTGAGCAAGGAAAAATTCAGAGAACAGAACTGCGTGTAGAATTAGCACATCGGGAAACATTCACATCGACTACTCTTGTCCGCGCCGCCCTTGCGATTCTGATATCCAAGTACAGCAACACAGAAGACATCGTGTTTGGGACCGTCCTATCGGGGCGTGATGCAGCTATAGACGGCATAGATACAATGATCGGCCCAACTTTCTCAACAGTGCCGATCAGAATCCAGATAAACGGCCAGCACAGTATCGAGGAATTCCTCGAGCAGATACAGAAGCAGTCACTAAACATGATGCCATACGAGGGCTTCGGCCTACAAAATATAAGCAAGCTTGCGAGAGACACCGAAGTAGCTTGTGGTTTTCAAACTCTTCTCATCACACAACCACCCGACGATGCTTTGGATCTAGGAGATATAAAAGTCACCTATGATGAGTTTTCCGACGCTGGTACATATCCATTAACGATAGATTGCAAGTTCGAGTCTGGTACCGCTATATTTCAAGCATTCTTTGATTCATCTGTTCTTGAATCCGCGTCGGTAGAATTATTTCTCTCACAATTGGACAATATTATTCAGCAATTCCACAGTGCTCCTCTGAATGAAGATATCAAGAATCTCGATTTGATGGGACCCGCTGATACAGCTCTCATTTGGAATTGGAACTCTCAATATCCACCCGCTATCGATAAGCGTGTTTGTGAAGTCATAGGAGAGAAGTGCATTGCATACCCTTACAAAGAAGCCGTGTGTGCTTGGGATGGCAATTTCACTTACAGAGAGTTAGACATTCTTTCTTCTTCTCTCGCCGAGAGATTGACGCAATTAGGAATTGGGTCTGAGATCCTTGTTCCGATAGCTTTCGAACGAAGTAAGTGGGTTGTGATCGCAGTTCTGGCAGTCAATAAAGCTGGCGGTGCATTTGTGCTTCTGAATCCGACCCACCCAGTCGACAGACTGCAAAGTATTGTATCACAGGCCAACTCACCAGTCATATTAAGCTCCAGAGAGTGCCTACAGATTTCTCAAGAGCTCCTTTCTACCGTGCTAGTCGTCGATGACTTTTTCAGCAATCCCACCAAATTGACGCAAATCGTTCTTGAAGCAAAGGAAATGACAGTCAAGAAAAGCTCCATACAAACCATATCGAAACCATCAGACCTTTTGTATGTCGTTTTCACAAGTGGGACAAGCGGCACACCAAAAGGCATTATGGTCGACAATCGTGCTTTTTGTACCTACATCGACTCTTTGGCCAGGATGACGGATGCGAAAAGTACTTGGCGTGGCCTAGTATCTTCGGCTTATAGCTTCGACTCCAGTCTTGAAGAGATGTTGATGCCTTTGATGCTTGGTGGTACCATCTGCGTGCCATCACAGCATGAGCTTTCTAATGATCTGACGGGTGCAATGAACAGAATGGGGGTTCACTGGGGAGTGTTTACCCCATCTCTGGCTAGACTGATTGACCCTCGAGAGCTCACCACACTAACGGATCTATATATCGGAGGCGAACAGATGACGGATGCCTTAGTACAATCTTACGGTAGCTGTGTAAAACTCACGAATACGTACGGTCCAAGTGAGTGTTGTCCTACAGGCTGTGTATCATCAACGCCTGAGCTTTATGGTGGTCATATTGGCCGAGGCGTTGCATGCAGAACTTGGATCGTCGATCCAAACAACCATGAGCGATTGATGCCGGTGGGTTGCATTGGTGAGCTGATCCTTGATGGTCCGAATGTAGGCCGTGGGTATCTGAATGACGAGGATAAGTCTCGTGCAGCTTTCATCGAAGCGCCAAGCTGGCTTAGAGAAAAAGAACAAACCGAAAGTACGAACAGAACTCCTATCTACGCACGCCGAATGTACAAAACCGGCGACCTTGCTCGGTATTGTTCAAATGGTACCATGGAATATATCGGCCGCAAAGACCAACAGATCAAGTTCTATGGACAGCGTATAGAGTTGGGCGAAATCGAGCATCATATCCAATCAGTATTATCAGATTCAACGGAAACTATTGTAGAGGTTGCGACCCGCACTGGAGAATCAGATCAACAAATGTTGGTAGCTTTTATGGTATTTCCAGAAACCAATGAAACGATCAAAGATTTAGACAGCGATCCGCTGCACGCAGATATCCGCATATTGCATCTACGCCAAGAACTTCCTCGCAGAATTCCTCCATACATGCTTCCATCTCTATATCTTAGACTTTCAAAAATACCCCTGACTAGTTCGGATAAGATTGATCGCAGAAAACTCAAACAATTAGTATTGGAGTTGACCGATGCAGAATTTCTTGCTGCAGCTGGAACAGACACCAAAAAGCGTCCGCCTGAAACCGAATTTCAATTAGGGTTGCAAACCCTTTGGGCCGAAGTACTCAAAATAGACAAAGACCATATAGGTATGTAGCGGTTCCAGACTTTAGTTGATATTTCTAACCGTGGATACAGGATTGGATGATGAATTCTTCCGAATGGGAGGTGATTCTATCAGAGCTATTAGGCTTGCAACACTTGCACGCCAGAGAGGATGGAGTCTTACCGTGGCCGACATTACAAGATACCACTCATTGGAAAATATGACACAACGCATCACTAGTCTTGAGATTGTGACTCGAGCACCATCGCCTTTCAAAATGCTCCCTAAGGAGTGTTTTAGAATTGATGTGTCGGCAGAAGCAGCACGTTATTGTGAAGTCGAAATTTCAGCCATCGAGGATATATTTCCATGCTCACATCTTCAGCGTGGTTTGATGGCTTTATCTCTGAAACATCCCACCTCGTACATTGCCAAGGATGTCTTTGAGCTTCCTGATAATCTAGATGTTGATAGATTCCTTGATGCTTGCCGTCACTTGGTACACAATAACTCCATTCTTCGCACTCGTATCGTTCATATGCATTCAGGTTTCTATCAAGTGGTTCTGAAGAGCGAGTTCGATTCGAGTGCGAAACTCGTTATGGAATCCGATTCAATGGACATTCAACCTAACGAAATGGGACTTGGAACTAGCCTCTGCAGCCTTATTGTTTCCCGCGGTTCTCCAGAAGGGAAGAACAAGTTATTTTGGACTATACACCATTCACTCTTCGACGGCTGGTCTATGGAGCTTTTTTACAGGCAACTAGAGGATTTGATGCAAGGCCGACCTTCAAAGCCAACAGTACCCTACAGTCTTTTCATAAATCATGTCACGAATATTTCGCATGATGCATGCTCAGAATTCTGGACAAAGTCACTGGCAGGTCCTGCCCCGGTCCATTTCCCCAAACTACCTCGAGCAGATTATTTACCACAACCCGACAAGATACTAGACCGTACTCTGGTGATTCAACAAGAATGTTCACCTCATATAAGTATTTCCAGTTTCGTCTCCGCTGCCTGGGCTATTGTCATCTCTCGTTATACCGAGTGCAACCACATGAGCTTTGGCGTCACTTCATCCGGGCGAAAAATGAATCTACCCGGCATCGAAGCTATTGCTGGACCAACTTTTGCCACAGTTCCGACACTCATACGTTTGAATTCGACCGAAACTAAAGGTAATCTGTTACGCCGGATCCACGACCAGTCAGTAGAACAAACAGAGTATGAACAGTTTGGGCTTGAGAACATCAGCAATGTAAGCCCAGAAGCCAAAGAAGCCTGTGGATTCCAAACTCTGCTAGTCGTACAACCAATTGAGTCCGATGATCGTAGCGAAGAACCTCCTATTTTGCGCGATATCTCACCAAATCAAAATATCAACACGCATCCGTTAAACCTTGAGGCACAGCTAACTACAACTGGTCTTGTCATGAAGGCCAGCTTCGATACGAATCTTATATCACATTTCAATGTTTCTCATCTTTTATCTCAATTCTCTCATGTGATGCAACAGCTTTGCTCATCGCATGATTGCATCGTTGGCGAAATTTCTACCACGAGCCCCGAAGACATGTCGCAAATTGCATCCTGGAACCAAGATTTACCTCGCTCTGTCGAGGCCTGTCTTCACGATTTGGTCCTGATGAAGTGTGCTCAAACGCCTACTGCTCAGGCATTATCTTCGTGGGATGGAAATTTCACATATACTCAGCTCGATGAATATTCTCGCTCGATCGGATTATCTTTGCAGGAAAATGGTGTCACATGCGGCGATATTGTCCCCCTTTTATTCGACAAATCAGCATTGGCTATCATATCTATGCTTGCTGTTCTTCGAACCGGAGCCACTTGTGTATTTTTGGACATGGTTAATCATCCCTTCGCAAGAATGCAAAAGATCTGTGAAGAGGTACAGGCTAAGATTGTTGTTTGTAATAAAACACACCGTGATTTAGCTGTATCACTGGTTTCTCGAGTCTTCTCTGTTGACACTGAATTTCTCAACGACAATGCAGATGACAAAAGCCGGACATTGACAAGTAAAGTCACTCCACGCGATGGGGCTTTCATCATCTTCACAAGTGGGTCGACCGGTACGCCTAAAGGAATTGTTCATGAGCATCATTCGCTTAGTGCCAGCTACTTAGCTCTGGGACCTGCACTTAATATCGACAGTAGCTCTCGAGTGTTCCAATTTTCAGCTTTCACATTTGATATGTGTATTATCGAAACTCTAGCAACTTTAGTATCCGGCGGCAGCGTCTGTATTCCCTCGGAAGAAGAGCGAATGAACGACGTGGAAGGTTCTTTCTCTCGACTAGGATGTAATTGGACATTTTTAACCCCCTCATTTGCTCGCACTCTGAAACCAGAAAAGTTCGTGGGCATTGAGACGTTGTGTCTGGGCTCCGAACCTATCACCCAATGTGATGTTAATATCTGGAAACCCCATGTTAGCGAGTTGATGACAATATCGGGGCCTGCTGAGACATCGCTCTGTACAGCCGGAAGCTTATCTGGAATTCAACGCGTGCCTTATATTGGTAAAATGATCGGAGGTCTGAGCTGGATTGCCGAAATTTCAGATCATACCAAGCTTGCTCCAATGGGTGTTGTTGGCGAACTATTGGTCGAAGGCCCGGTGCTGGCGAGAGAATATCTGAATCAACCCGAGAGAACAGCTAATTCATTCGTTAACTTACCTGACTGGTTATCGAGCATAGAACCCAAGCCCTTGCGCCGACTTTACAAGACAGGAGATTTGGTAAAATACAATTCAGATGGGAGTATGCAGATCTTCGGTCGCAGAGATGGCCAAGTCAAGATTCGCGGACAGCGTGTCGAGCTTGAAGAGGTAGAATATCAGGTCAATAAAGCCTTACAGTCGAAGATTGACTCCTCACTTGAGTACAAATGCGCTGTCGATGCATTCAGTCCCGCTGATGACAGCAATTTAACTTATCTCGCCATCTTCATTGCCACCAAACTGGAATCAACGTTTGAGATCTTCAGAAAATTAACCAGCTTCATCATCGAGCGTCTTCAGGGCCAGTTGCCCTCTTATATGGTACCTGGTCTCCTGATGCCCTTGTCGATGATACCCATGACAGCAACGAAAAAGACAGATCGAAGAACACTTCGATCTATTGCCGGTGCCATGTCTAAAAGCGACTTGGTTAAATACATGAGTACTGAGACTAGAATACGAGTTCCACCTTCGACCTCGATGGAGAAAGCTGTTCAACGTTTATGGTCCAAAGTTCTACGGGTCGATATCGATACTATCTCATCCGAGGATAAATTCATCTACCTTGGCGGTGATTCTATCAGAGCCATCTCCTTTGTCTCTATGGCTCGTGAAGAAGGTCTTCGTGTTACCGTAGCCGATACTTTCCGTCATCCCGTGCTTCGTAACCTTTCAAAAGTGATGGAAGATACGGCAAGAGTTCAGACAGATTCACATCCTTCAGTCGTCGAATATCGGGCTGTTCCAAGACTGTTTGACTTGGACACGTTTAACGCCATATGCGAAAATATCCCTAAGCTTTCTGGCGCTGAATATATTGATTTACGTCCCTGTACTTCGACTCAGAACTTCATATTGACTGCGCATAGTTTGGGTCAAGAAGTATTCCAGCCTTACATGAGCTTCAAAGCTAGTTCAGTAGCAGGTGTTGATATTGATCGCTTAATCAAAGCCTGGGAGAAAACAGTCGCTAGGCATTCAATTTTACGTACAGTGGTTGTGGAATCTCCTAGCGATAGCAGAGCATGGTATCAGCTGGTTCTCACCAAATATCAACCAGAAGTAATCCGCATTGGTGAGGGCGAAAGTTCATGCAATGAGATTGCTGATTTGCTGCAAGAATCTCGTAGACATCTTCCTGCGTGTCAGCTTATCGTCAGAGAGTCTGGAACGGAGAGTCTGAACTGCACCCTTCACCTGAGCCATGCATTCATAGACGGTGGATGCGTTGATGCTCTCTTCGAGGACTTTGCATCCTTCTATGCGGGTAACTCATTTGCATCTGAAGGGCCACAATACCGTGATTTTCAACATTATTTGCTGAATAGACCGGTTGAAGATTCTGTGGAGTTTTGGTCGACCTATACCGAAGGTCTAGCACCATGTTTGATTCCATTGAATGGATCTAGTCAAGAATTGCATGATTTCCGCTCACAAAAAATCACATTACCAAGTACAGACACGCTAAGACAGTTATGCATCAACCATGACGTAACCCTCTCAATCCTGATCCAAGCCGTCTGGGCCACCACATTGCACCGGTATACCGGAACCACCGATATTGCATTCGGAAACATAGTATCAAATCGAGACATTGAACTCATTGGCGTAGAGAAAATCATCGGGCCCGTTTTCGGCATTATTCCCCGACATCTCAAGATAGAAGATGATGCATCCACCGCAGATCTCCTAAAGATATGCCATGAAGATTTCATCAGATGTCTTCCCCACAGCAATTTTTCGTACCTCGAATACTTTGAGCGGAAATTCGGGTGTAGTTATGATCAACGAGATTTCAACACGGTGATCAATTATCGCAAGTTTTTGGGTTCGCAGAAGGGGGTTGGGGGTGCTGTGTCTGAGTTGGTTTTGGATGAGGTTGAGAGTGTTGATCCTTATGCTGTAAGTTCTCATTTATATTGATGTTCGATGTTTGATGTTTGGAATGCTAACTTGGGATTCTTAGTTTGATATTCTGTTGGGTGTCGATGATGATGATGATGGTCAGGAAGTCTCGGCACAGATCGATTATTGGGGATCGCGTGTTTCGGACGAACAAGTGGGGGAACTGGTTAATGTTTTTGTAGCTGAGCTTGTTTCTTTGTCCTTGAGGGAGTAGAAAGGTGGGATAGATTTGTTGTAGAAGAGAATGAAAAGTAGCTTTGCTAAGTCGGGTTTCGCTCTTGCGTGTTGTTGTTGTTGATGGGTGGGGATAGTCTGATGGATACCTATAGCTAAGGATGGTTGAGGGTCGAGACAAGAATTAAATTTCTTTAATAGTTTGTAATTCAATACATAGTCTTCCTTTAAAACTATTCATCTTCGTTGATTTTTTGAACAAACCGCTTCCTCTTTGGGGACGCGTACAGTTTAGTCTTTGCATCACCAACTGTGTATCCTCGTAATCGTCCAAAATTGACAGATACTCATCATCACATACATAAAACGCTGCGAATTTATAACAAGTAGATTGACTACTGCGTACTCAGAGCAGACAAATGAGAGGCCCCTGTTGTAAGCGAGACTACTGTAGGCGTTTTGGCGTGTACATACTGTATTGAATAATGATTCTAAAAATGCGGTTTATAACTTCAATTGCATCTTTATAATGATGTTCACTGACAAGTCCTACTCTCTTCTTTCTTGGGGAATAGAAGATTACCCATAGTTATCGAAATGTGAAGCAAGCATTTATCGACTTTGTTATATATGTAGAGTTTCAACACCATTGGGGATAACACGACACAGAGAAAGTAGAATACATCGAGAAGTATAAGAGAACAAAATAAGAAAAATAACACTAAAGAGTGTACTGGTATTGAAATAAAAACAAGCCCAGCAAACACAAAGCCTCCAACGCCAGCATACAGTGCTCGAAAATCTCCGATATACACCTATCTTGTGCCCTAATGAAGGTGAGAGAAAGTAAGAGACAGATGAATCTAAGCCGGTAAATGTAGATGTAAACACTGAGTTCCTTCCTCTTCATCTGTCTAATTAAACTTATTTGATATACTCGAGTAGTAGTAACTCATGTTTCATTTCACCCCTATATCATATAATCATAATGGTTTAGCCATTGCTATATCATATCACATGAAACCTGCTGTGACATTAATCACATTACATGTTCTGAGTCTCTAATACTGCAACTCTACTCGAGTATATGAGGATTAGAAAGATACCTATCTACCTAGTACATTCATATAAAATTAAATTAAATTAAATTAAGGAGTACTGGTACACCTTTCTCATCTAGTCTGGTATCGACTCTTTACTTTTTACATTGTTCATAGTAACAGATGATATCCATTCCAAGATATTTAATTCATTTCATATAAATTTCACATAGAGATAGCTCACTGCAATCACTCCATCTTTCTTCCCTTTCTTCCCTTTCAACTCTTTCCACCCTCCACCCCCCACCTTCCTTTCCCCCCAAAACATCATTCTATTCACACTCTTCTAGCATACATAGGGACCAGAAACCAAAGGCTCGCTCAGATTAATACCACCGCTCTCGAGCTCCTCTATCGCAGAATACCGGTACTATCTGTACTCGAGGACTTGCCATCGAGAAAGGAAAGGAAAGGAAAGGAAAGGAAAGAAAAGAAAAGGAAGACAGCTGCCAGGCACATACTTTTCTTTTCAAGTCTTTTCAAGCTCCAATGATCCGCCAATTATCTGAATTTTGATTGGAATTTCGTACACAGCACTGCAACCGTACAGTTACAGTACATGTACTAATATCTCAACCCACTGTTCTAGTTCTACTAATCCCCGTGGTATCTTTTCCCTATATACTCGGTAATTGTAATGATAAACCCATCTATTCTATTACATTGCATCCCGTGATCTATATTATCATTGATTCATCTCTTGGTCCTGTAATATGAGACTGGCACTATTTATTTATTATTTTAACGCCTATACCTATCTACTCCCACCAACTCCCACCAACTATTTCCTACTCTCACACCTTCCCGATCCCAAATAATACAATCTACATACATCTACATCTACAAGTATAAAACCACAAATAGAACCCCTCCCTCCCGCATCTCCTCAACCAATCATTACCTACCTACCTCTTCAAGTAAGATTTTATTAAGAAGCCTCATTATATCTACCCATATATGATACATGATATATGATATATACTAAAGTACTCTATATTCAATATAAACCCCAAGCTAAGCTCTATGGAATGGAATCTGGATGGTTAATTACTCGAGTAACCTTACTGTGGCTTAGGTACAATACAGTATTTAGGCAGTAGATATCTAGACAGATCGGATCAGCTTCTGAGGAAATATTTTTGGATTTTTGGATTTTTGAATATTGGAGGAAAGAGGAAAGAGGAAAGAAGAAAGGGGAAAGTTAGGATGAGATGAGATGAGGGGAGCACTATTACACTATAACAGAACATATATTGGTATGGATTAAAGTAAAGGGTGATTGATTTTAATCAACCGGTGTATATCAATAAATCGACTATGGTACTAATCTTGCATTATTAACTCGAGTACGATCGTAGGTTATTACATTATATTACAGCAAACACAGTCAATATACGTATAAGAAAGGAAACCCTTAGAAAGAAGTTTGGGAGGAATATAAAGTCGATGTTTGATTTGATTTCGATTTCGATTTCAGTTGATATACTCGAGTAAGTAACTCGGAACCAATATTTCGAGATAAAAAGAGCATCAGAAACTATACTATGCGCTAAGGTTACCCAACACCATAAATTTTCCGCACTCAGCCCCTACTTCTTCATCTCAATGCGCAGCAAATAACCCATCAATCTCTCGACCAAAAACATCCTCGGACCCGCCTGATCATCATTACTCATCGCATGACTGGCGCCCGGCACAATGGCCGTAAACTCATCATCCCAAACCTTCTCCTTCTCCGCACCCTCACCCTTCCCCTTACCCCCCCGATCCGCCGCATCCCTCCACCTCCCCAACAATTTCTTCTTATCCACCCACTCCGGCACCGCCTGATCGGCCCCAGAATAGAAAACCACCAAGCGATCGCGCAACAAACCCCTCTCCCTAATCATCCCAAACGTTTTGGCCAGTTGCTCATCACTCAGATCCGAGGAGAATAAATCGTCTTCTTCTGGCTGTTGGGGACTTTGCGGACTGGCTAGACTCATGAATCGTCGACAGCTGATCGGCGTATTCCCGTACCCGATTTGAGACGTTAGGGTCATGGGGAGAATGATATCGATAGCTTGATCGCGCTTCGTCGCATCTTTGCATATCTCTTGAATCTGACGGAAAGCCGCTTGGCAATCGGTTGCGGGGCGTTTCCCAAGACCATCTCGTAAGACCGATTGGATGGCCTCGCGGTCCGAAATCGGTGCTTGCATGATGGCGCCGTCGAGCACCGGACGCGTGGCGTGTTGGAGATGCGGATCAAAGATGGGAGTGGTGGTGTGGGGATTGGGTCGATGCAGATAATGCAACACGACTTGGGATCCCGTGGAATGACCCATCAGTACGATTTTGCTGTTGGCATATGTCGCGCTCTTGTACTCTTGGATGTAGCGGAGACATTCGGCGATTTCGTCTGAGTCTCGGTCTAGATGAGATGTTCCCCATTGAGCATATGACGAGGAGAGGTTCAGAGAAAAAAGTGACCATGGTGTGGGCTGGAGAGCTTTGGCTATATCGGCCATGAATGATGTGGTGGCAAGTCCATCTCCTAGTCCTCCGAGGAACAAAAGACTATAGGGTTTAGGGACCGCTCCGGATGTATACTCGAATGTTACGAGTGTTTCAGTCTATGGATTTGTGAGCTGCTTATCGATAATGATATGAGTGGGATAGAACAGTATATACGTACATAATGATGCAAGATACCAGGAAGGCCACCTTTAGGCCAGAACTTGGAAGCCATTTTGAGATATTCGGACCAGATTGAGAATATACCGGTATTGAAGACTTTGAAGAACAGAATTGAATTGAAGAATGAACTGCAGGTATGGTATGCTATCGGTATACGTTACTGTGAAGCTCAAGATTACTGTAGCAGCCAAGTTTATGTGGCTAGCTAGCGGTATTGTTGTTGTCCGTCCGTCGTGAAAAGTGGGATAAATTTTATTTTTATTTTTTGCACCATCCATCAAAATCGGCAAAAGGCGTTGTTGTCTACGGAGTGGAGTGGAGTCTCCAAAATAATTATTTTTTCGAGGTAGTAAAAACCAACTAAGATTCCGAGATCGGATATTGTTTCGCCGAAACTCGAAATCAAGGATTGATGGGAGGGAGGTAGAGGGAATCAATGAATAATACTGATTTGAGCGGATCAGATAAGATTATATGTGATTCAATCTAATCAGATGACGCTAAATATGTGATGGGGGCTCGCTTGTTATGCAGAGGTACCGTATGTACGTAGGTACAGTATGTAAAAGAAAGATTCATATCCGAGGTTACCAATGAGGATGTGATGTTTATCCCCGCTATGAGCGGAGTGTACGTAATAGATAATTTGGCAATCAGTCTTGGGAAACATTTGAAACGCTGGTTCTGTATTTGTTTCTGTGCTGATGTAAATGGTATTTTTTGGTGTTGGTATGATGATGAAATACTATTAGATACTAGAGTTCTGAAATGGTCCTTTCAATTTAAATTCGGGAGATAATAGAAAGTGCAAATGTCTCTTGCGGAAAGAGGCAATGATTCCGACGGATCGGCACGAATCGGCAAGTATCGCCTCTATAGGGCATTCTGCCGATACGAAAATGATAGCATACGTACGGATACGATCTCGGAGTTCATTGTAAATTACATGGGTCACTGGAACGACAAGATGGGACCACATTCAAGGTACCGGTATGTATATAGAAACTTTTAATATTATGACATGTTAATTACGAGGACCCGCCAACGGTCAAAAAAGGCAGTGAATTTGATAGAATCAATCACCACGTGGCAATTGGTGTTATACACACGACTAGAATACCGTGCCCTTTACTTGTGTCTTCTGAGCGACATTGATATTCTTAATCATCAAAATCCAGACGAAAGCTAGGCCAATAATGGCCGTTCCCGCAATCAGCATTCGCTCCTGTGCGTAGCCGTATGCTTGTTGAATTGCAATTCGAGTCTCGCTTCCCATGGGATAAGTGAGTTGAGTAGCCAGATCCCCATAAATGGCATCGAAGTCTGCCATGGCTGATTCGGGAAGATATCTTTCCAAGGCTTGAGGAAATGTGTTTGTCCAGATGGCACCACAAATGGCGTTTCCAATGGCACCGCCGATGTTGCCTACCACGTAGAGTAAGGCGAGAATGGCTGCAACGTGCTGATGGTCGGAGGCTGCTAGAACGGCGATTTGCTCGCAGATGATGAACATACTGCCGCCGATCGAGATGAAGATTTGACACATGACGATGTAGCCGATGCTCTGGTTTGGTTGACGGAAATAGATCATCAATCCTTGAGCAAAAACGTAGATAGGAACCGCAACCACCAAAAGCCACTTGAAGTACCCGGTTTTGCGAATCAATAATCCAACACCCAGGAGGAGAATTCCGGAAACAACGTCGAATGTATCGCTCACATATCCTGCCTCTGCCAAGGTTAAGTTGTTGACAACTTGTAGGAAAGAAGTAAAGTAGCTGTTCCAGCAGTAGTAAGAAATTTGATACGTCAAATCCAGCAAGCATGCGCCGATGACCGTTCGGTTTGCCAAGAGATTAACATCCAGGAAAGGTGCTCGAGCGAGGTAAGTTTCGTAGATTCCAAAGAGGGCGAGGGTCACGAATCCAACGATGATCATGGCAATAATGTAGTCCGTTTTCCAACCATTAGGTGCAGTGTCGGTAAGTGTGAATGGTAGCAAGAAGACCGTGAATCCACCGGCGAAGAGCACAACTCCCAAGGCTACTTCATTGTCAGAATGATGCTAGATGCACGGAGTGGTGGAAAGCATGACTCACCATCGAATTCCACGGCGTAATGCCAGATATTTTGCATCAGAGTTCGGCCACTGCTCTCTCTGATCAGAATACCTTGGTTTTCTGCTTTCCTGAGATTGAGCTTCAAGATGATGTATAGTGGTGCTGCCACAAACGGCAAGATGATAGCAAAAGTGCCGAATCCCCATCTCCAGCTGACGTTATAGTAGTAATCATCAGAAATCTTAGGTCCAGCAAATGCGGTAATGATGTATGGGGAAGAGGTGAACGCATATGCAAGACCCCGATTCTTCAACTTCGAAACATCAGCTGTGATGACATCAATACTGTAAATCAAGCCTCCGAAACCGATCGAGTAAAAGACCTAGAGTTAGCGATTAGCATATTGAAGCTGCAAAATTAAGTACGGTGAAATAGTACCTGTGCAGCACAGAATGTAGCGATGCTATTGCAAGCAGCCATCATGATTAACCCGATGGTGGCAAAGAACACCATAAGAAGGAAACCCTCAGCACGACCCCAGAGATCCAACATCTTCGCAAGTGGGATGTATATCGCTGCTGTCATGGCGTTGGCAACGATATTGATGACGGTGATCATAGAATGTAAGTCGAATGAGCTTGTGGCGAACGGGATAAGATTGTAGCAAACTGAAGATTGCAGTGCATTGACAAAGTAAAGCAGCCACATGCTGTTATTGTATTGTTTAGCTACCATCTGTGTAGACGAGGATGATAAGTTGCAAACTTACAGTGCGAAAACCATAATGAGGTATGGCTTTGTCCATGTCAACGCCACTGCCTCGACTTCTTGAACACCACGTTGTGCACCTTCGGTCGGCATGACATCTTTTTCGGCTTCCTCTGATATTGGTTCAATACTGCCAGTGCTTGGAGAGATAACGTCGTTGGTACCATTGACAGTGGTATTCTTTTCATCCGAAGATGGGAGATCTGCCATGGCTACTTCTGCACTTTCATTGATGATATCCTCTGTCGCCCTTCGACGGAACCCAGGCCTAAATTTTGAGAATGCTGGCATAGTTGCGGTTGGTCGACGCCGCCAATATTTGCAGAACTTAAGAAAAGACGATCAGAAAAGAGGTTGGAATGATACAGGTAATACAATTCTATGGATGAACCGTAGAAGGAGATGGGTGACTACTAATACTTAAATCTCGACCTACCTGTCAATATGGCTATCCACATCCACATGCACATCCACCTACACCTGCAGCCAGGACAAGGTTCGAGATTTGCGCATGTTGCCGTGTGCTTGGGGCAGCCAAGACTATTTCCACGGAGTGATATATAACGAGGCTTAGTGTGGATGAGGACGCGAGTAGGCTCATCAAATTAACAAGATAATGCACACGAGACGATGTAGGCAGGTAAAATTAAATGAGACGACAAAGATTCCTTGGAGATGCATCAATTGAAGAGAAAACCTTTTTCCCACGCAGTTCTGCCTGAGATTGGAATTATTTCCGACTTCAGACGGGTGAACGAACAAGGGGGATCAAGTTGAATGGGTCGATTAGGTCGTCTACCACCGGTGAGCACAGTTGATTAGCTGGCTAAAGTCTTGTAAGTGGGTTCATGTGGGATCAAGTGGGGTTAAATGACCTGGCTTTTATCTAATCTGATCAAAATTTTCATCAATGGCCAGGGATGACAGGAACTAAATTTCCCAATCACCTATTTATAAGAAACTTTAGACTGGCTATTACCTATTATGTGTTAGTTACGGGAATGATACCACATCACCGTCATTTACGATATCAATGGGGAAAATCGGAACGGATTGTTTGATCTCGAACGAAAAAAGCTCGATTCCCTGTAGAATATTGATTGAACCCCTCATTATACAAAGATAATCTAATCAGATTGATCAGATCATTTAGAATCAAGCCTTCCTAATCTTTATCTAATCAGATCGAGATCCTCAGTATGACCAGGAGAGCAAATTGCTCAAACACTCAACATCTAATTTGAAATGTCTACTACAGACAGTATAGTCAGTACGGATATAATATGACACCACATTGTCATCATCGAAATGCCAAAATCGGACTTTCGGAAAGTATGTGGATATCAACTTTTCGTGGGTCATTATTCGGATATGCATTCGTGCAGTCACACTTGGTCCTCTTTAGAAGAAGACAAGCGAGTGCGGTACCGGTTAGGTGAATTATTGGGGGGTAAAACCCACTTTTGTCAATAATTACGACTCCATGTACATAACCAGTTCGATCAGATAACAAAGAATCGTCGAGAACCAAAAAGAGGGTATTTTCCGTTGGGTTTCAACTATTGTTTCCATGTGATCATCAGATCAATCAGATAAGATTCCAAGGGATCAGAAGAGGATTTGCTTCTCTCCAGGTCGGAATTTCAACCTTGTTGTATCATGTTTTCCAGATCTAGCGACCGGAAAAGAATAAGTTTTTATCGTAGGCCATGAATCTAATCATACGCATTGAATCCAATACCGGAGGCAATCTTGGAGAGCGGGCTTTTGACCATATATCTTCGCCTGAAGCTGTAAGGAGCACCACATACGGAGACCCACGAAAGGGGCTTGTGTGACGGTTGGCAGCTGATTAGCAGTATCTCCGGTAGCGAAGACACCTAGCTGACTCGTCTGATTGAATGGTGCATTGATGGTTCCACATAGGGTGATGTCAAGATCGAGTTGACGTGCAAGGTCAGCCGATTTGCAATCCCACATATATATAATGTACCAGGTACCCTTCGGCCTTCGTTGTGTCATTTTCGAAGTGAGTTATCATTTCGGATCCCTTAAGAGTTTTGAAGATCTTCATGGCATGGTTGGCGTTGTTGAGGTAATAGCGGCTGCAACATTAGCGGCCGGTTGTTCGCTCTGCGGCATGTACCCCATAGGTTGCATAATCTCCAAAGAGTCAATGTGCTCGTCAATTGATATGCAGCGATACAAGAACTGTGGCAATGTCTCCTTGGGTAAGAAAAGCAGAAGACGAGGCTTCTTGTTGCTCCCATCTATGACATGAAATACAATTAAACTGCCTTGGAATCAATACACGCCATATACAAAAAGGGGGCAAAGAACTACACAACCATTCCAGTGCTCAAGCACTCAGAAAATATCGAAAACTTAAAAAGCTTAGAATGAGTACGGACCAGAAGCTGTTCTTTCAACAGTTCGAGTGTTCCGATATTGCTCAACAAAAGCCCTCGCGGAGATGTCGGCGAGGGACGAACGGAGCGGAACGCACTTATATTGTCTCATATCTGGTGCTTGGAGAAAATTGGGGACCGATCAGAATGGCTCACTCAAGCAATCTAAGTTAAGCTCTAAAAGTCAAAAGCGATCCCGTATTCCAAGGAGCACATATAGACAAGTATTGTGCGGCCTGAGATCTCATATGTTTTGATCATATGAATATTTAAGTGGTAACTCACCATGACTGTGCCCGTGGTCGAAGGTTTGGTCCTCTAATTATAAACCCGGAAATGTATATCCATGCCTCATAGCCATAACCTAGTCCTCAAGCGCCAATAATAGCCTTCAGAACATATATCGCCCCCACACCACCAACAAGCGTTGCAATTAGTAGAGCAGCTCCCTCCTTGGTACTCGTAAAATATAATGTGAATCCCACCACTAATTCCATCATTCTAGCTCTCTCTCTCTTCTTCTTCCAGTCAATGTCGATATCAAACGGCATTTTAACTCTTGGATCCTCTCCTCCTTCCCCTTCTTCGGGCTCCGGAATTGGCAGTAGAGGAACTGTTATATCTAAAGCTACAGCTCTATGGTCTGATGTTGGGAAGAGGGGTAGTGCCGAATATTTATTCGAAATGATTTTAGCCTGTGGATTGCTCTTTTGTACCCAAGATGGCATATCAAGGTACAAAATTCTATCGCACCAACTAGGCCATCTGTGTTTTGCCCATGGCCATCTGTTTAATTCATCATCAGATGTCATGAATGGCCCTTCTGACTTGTATTTATATGTGGGTGGGAATGAGATGGGAGCTTCGATAAGTCCATGACAAGTTCGGCCAGCTAATCGTTCTTGGTTGAGTTGGTCATTTTCGAATAGACTCGAGTAGTGGTTGGGAGATGAAGTGGAATCGTGCGGTTGTGGGAATATGTCGATATGATCATTCGGCGCAGGCGAGATGATAGAGGTTCGATAATTTAGGTCCCCGCCGAAAAAGAGATGAGATGTTGATTTATAAATTGACGCATCTTGTGGTGATATGGATAGCAATGGTCTATCTTCTTCGCCTTTAGGTAAAGCCGTGTCGTAGTTCGAGGTCGTTGAAGAAAATACTAATCCGCGGACAATGTTCTTCCAATCTTCGTTTCGTCTTTGCAGTTCTTCCTCCATGGCTGCAAGATGTGCTGCAACGAACGTTAATTCTGTCGAGGTGTCCCCAATTCCATATGTGAATCGTATTCCAATTGCTCCTTTATTTCCCATTGACCAAGCCCCTACTCCAACCTCACCAGCCTCTAAATCTTGTATAAGGGTCGGATCTTTTGCAAATATCATAATTCCCGTCAGGCCAACATTTCGTGCAGCTATCGAAGTATATGTCGACCCATCATTGGATTGTTTCTTTGAAGCTTTTTCGACCGCATCGTGAAATCGATTGAAATAAGGTACCAGAAAGGATCCGCCTATGAGAGAGTATGGTATTGGTGCAATTTCTTGTAATGAGAGAACGAGAAGGTCTGGTAAGTGAGGGGATGAAAGGCCACTGAAAAGTTGAGAAGCAAACGCATCAGCATCTATGAGAGTAAGACCACAGTTAAAGGTCAGATAATATAAACTTAATGCCTTCATCTCTGAAGGCTTTGCCATGATCATTTGTAGTGTTTTGAAGTTGATGTTGATGTTGATGATAATTCAAGACACGGCCAGGAACGTTGTAATTTTGGCCTTGTTTACCGACGTCACCAGGCCATTTTATTGAACAATACCCCGCATTTATCCTCATTCCTGGGTTCAATTTAATTTGATATAGTAATTATACGGTAATTTTATATACCGGTATATTTTCATGATATATCTATCCATCTATATCTTCAAAGGAAAATAGCTATCGTATTCTAGTGTTTGGCAAGTTTCGATTCTTAGCAGTTTGTTCATGACAGAGGTTCCTACATCACCACAACTCTCTACTTCTCATAGAATTTAAGACATCCATCGGGAATGGAATGTAGACTACATTCCCCGTAAGAACTGGATTATGATATTTGTTCTCGATTTCTCCCAAAAGACTTCCACGATATACTGCGACTGACACTCAATCTCTCAGATTCCCGGAGATGAGGCTGCAGCGCTGACAAAGCTACTGGATGAAGGCGTTTCAATTTTCCCAGAAAGGGTGTACCATGGAACTTACGGCGAGAAGGGTTGGGGGAGACTGACATTCGCCATAAAGCGGGAGATTATGATTGAGGCAGCACTCGTCAGGATGAAGGGAGTTTTGAGACCATCTCTAGCTATTGAATCTTGAAGGGAAAAGCTTCTGATATCACAAATGTATGACCCACAAAGCATAAGAGTTCGGACCTCAATAACACATTTTCTTAAACAAGACTACTCGCGCATAGCAGAAAAGGACTTTACTATACTACTAAATATGAATTATACGGCAAGAGGAGGCGTGCAGCTTGAAGAGAATGCTATAACTTTTCAATTCATCTAGGAGTAGGCTGGTCAATGCTAGCAAAAGTGCCTCGAATGAGAAAGGGAGAGGAAATAGAAAACCCAAGTAAAAGATACCAAAGCTCGAGAAAGAAAATCAACATCATATTCCATCATCCATTACCGTCAATGAACTCCATAATTTTTTGCCATGGATTCGGGCTACGATATTGATGGCGATTAGGCAAGCGCAGGCAGCTCTCCTGTCTCAACTTTAGCGACATCATGAATCGAATTGGCGGCTAGTAGATATCAACTGTGGTGTGGCATCCATCATGCGAAAATTCGAACTGAACTGCACTAAAGATGTACGTCTGATATGTAGTTGCTTGTCACTCCTGGCACATAGATTGGAAAGATCAAGATCAAGAGTAGAGAAAAACAGTTTCGATTCTCATAATGCTTACATGTAATAATACGATGTGACTGTTCATATAAGTCTTACCTATAATACGACAAGATCGGTATATATCTATAGACAAGAAAGCTCAGATGTCAAGTACTGCAAGACCAGGAAGGTCTGACACATTGGCACGCACATTCACCCGTTCGTATACCTCACTGACGTTATTTTCATCGACTATCCCAAACGCCTCTCCAGGAAAAATCCACATGCCAATCGTCGTCGTAGCGTCTTTCTCCAACTGCGTGTAACTCTCGTCATTACGCAAACAGCCAGGTCCAGAAACCTGCAGGTGAGAGCCGAAGTCACGAACTGGTAACTCGGGTCCAATCTCCGACTCAGCCAGGTCAGCCTGGTGGTGGCGGTTGACTATCTGGCGTACTGCAGGATTTGTTGATGTGTATCGCGCAACGTTCTTTTCTAGTTCCGACTCTTCGAGCGGTGACATCTGTGTTGCTACGCAAACATAAATTTGGAAAGGGACAGTATGCTGCACACCTAGAGTCTTCTCGAGGACGCGCCAGCTATGGTAGAATCGGCGGGGATCCTTTTTGAAGCGCAGTTGTTTCAGATCTAGCTTGACGGGTCTAGGGTCATTCTCGAGCCAGTCGAACTTAATGTAGGATCTATCAATCCTATCCAGAGATGGCATGGTAGGGCAGGTCTTTGTCAAGGGAGACATTGGGCGATGATGGGCTGTTCGATGGTGGCGATAGGAATTTCTCGTCTTGCGTATTGGCTGTTCAACACACCACAGTGACCGAAGCTTGTTGCTCAGTATATCGACGAGAGATGCGGTGGCTATGGAGTGAATGTCATCTTTTTTTTTACTTACGCTACTCGGGAAATTATCACTACGTTCTCGACTCTGACGGGTCAAGAAGCTGAGTGTTTCATCGTGAAAGGCACCTGTTTCATTGTCGTCTATCATAGCGTTGTCTGTGACTTGTGGGGATACAGCTTGCACATCTTGTTCACCTTTATCCACAGGAGGATCATATGGCACCTCATCATTCGTTTCATGATGCAGGAATGCGTCGAAATCCTCGTCAACAAGAAGCGCAGTATGTCCGGATAGTAGATTGGAGGGTTGCGGAACGTTGAAGAAAGTACTCTTTTCTGCGTGCGCTAGGGCCAGATGTAGGAGACCCTCATCTTTTGGATCGTATGCTCTGATATCATGGAGTATATTGGCGAGCAAAGAAGGATCTTTGTCCCAGGACTGCAAGAACAAAACATCATACTCGGGGCTAATCCTAACCTGACCTCGAGCGATAGGTAGGCATATGTGAAAGAAATCTAGCGCAGCCGACCTGGATTCTATTGTGGTGGATAGAAATGGGCTGACTGTATTCGATACAGAATCATTGATTGAGAGCTCATAATGACTGCCGCTGATGATATTGCCCAAATAGTTGTAACTAGAGTACAATCGCGACCGATTATTTTGGTCTGGGTTGGAATCATCAGTCGTGCTGCTGACCCAGATTGGGATGAAGCGGTGTTGGCTCAGAGATAGAGACCAGATATGTAGACGGATTTCCCGGGGGAGGCAAGGGAACAGATGAAATTTCAAAGAATGATTCTGCTTGGATGAAGCTATATGCTCGTGGTTGAAAAACTTGGTCATTTTTGCTTAGTATGGAGTGATTAACTGCTCCATCCAAGGGACTGTGGAGGATGGAGGAAGTTGAGAAACCAGGCAGCTATACACATTCACAAATAATCCACAAATTACCTTTCCAATTATCCGCCCCATTCATAGATCATCTATGGATTACTCATCAGATCGATAATCCACCCCAAGGATATCCGTTGCGCAACCCAACATTGCTTGCTTGTAGTAGTTTGCCAATTCGAGTCTACAAGATAAGGAAACCTCAGAATTTCTACAGCTGGCTTTCTTTATTTTATCGCTATATCTGATACCTTACTAGTAGACATTTAGGTTATGGAAATAGCTTCAATTTAGCGAAGTTTTCGAGCTTAAAATCATTCAAGCTTCTACTAGTAGAGCTTCCATACGATAAGATTATTCTCTTCAGATAAGATATTTCTAATGATCTATATAAATACAAAAAGAAATATATATATATTTCTATCTTGTCTTTATATTCTAGATAGCTCCTTATTTGATTAAAAGATAGTATTATAATTGTTGGAAGTGCAGTCCAGGCTCACACAATGTCACGTGATATAGTCTATATGCATGTGCCTCATGCATTTATATATATATCCAATCTTATTAGAATATTTCTAAGGATATATATATACAATATTACTACTATTATATCTATTAGAATCTTAGTAATATTCTAATAGATTATAATCCTGTATTAATCAATATTTATATCAATATATCAATTAATATATTTATAAATAAAATACTAAAAAAGATAACTCATTTTTTTGCTTTATACAAAAACTTTTTCATTAAGTATAAAAACTCTGATTTTTCATTAAAATTCTAATTCATTATAATAACAAATCTTATAGATATTGTATAAACTCGCTAAAGATTTATTACAATCTTTAATAGTAATA